TTGTCCCCCCAGAGGGGGGGCGTGGTGGGGGGAAGAGGGGTGTCCGTGGGGAGGGTGGTGGCGGTGAGGGCTGGGACGGTGGTTCTAACAAGGGGACCGGCCACACTTCCCTTACACCCGACACCGAGCGCAAGGGAAGTGTGGCCGGTCTACTTGACTCCGGTGCGTCTACCTGCTTCTTTCGCGACCACACTTCCCGTACGCCACTTGTTGCCCGTGCCGTCATCGCCCTTGCAGACCCCTCATCAAGTCTGGTAGTTGCCCGTCGCTCCACCAACCTTCCCTGTCCGGCGGCCCCCTCGGGCACTCTTACAGGCCTGCACATCGGCTCGTTCTCTAGGAACCTAGTTGGTGTCGGCTGTCTTTAGGACCTCGGCGTCACCACTACGTTCCCTGGCCACGAGCAGTACGCTGTCTGTACCAAGGTCGCCTCAGGTACCCCCCTTGCGACGATCCCTCGGAAAACTGTGTCTGGACTGTTTACGCTGGACACTGTGTCCCCCCCGGTGAGGGCGTCCCCCCAGGTACGTAGCAGCGGCTTACTCGTGTTGGTCGCTCACTCACCTATCGCTGCTGTGCCACCACCGCCTAGGTCACCCTGCACTCCCGCGCATGCGTTACATGTCCCACCACGGTCTTGTCCTAGGTCTCTTTACGTCGCTCCCTTCCCTCCCTCCCTTGCCTGCGCCGCCGTGCACGCCCTGCGTCAAGGGCCAGCTGCGCCGTGCACCTCACGCATCCTCGCTTCGCCCTGCCACCGCGCCACTCCATACCCTGCACCTGGACGTCTTGGGTCCAGCCCCCGTCCCTGGGCCGAGTCGAGAGCACTACTTCCTGGTGCTTGTCGACGACTACATGCGCTACACCACGGTGTTTCCCCTGGAGCGGAAGGCCGACGTGCCTGGCGTTCTTATAATGTGGGTCGTAGCTTCGCGAGTGCATCGAGGTCTCCCCGTGCTGTGTCTCCACTCAGACCGTGGAAGCGAGTTTGCCTACGGTCGGCTTGGACGGTTCTGTCGTGGGGAGGGCATCACCCAGTCGTACACCCTGCCGGACTCCCCACAGCAGAATGCGGTCACTGAGCGATGCATCGCCTTGGTCATGGAGGTGGCTCGTATCTCCATGACTTATGCCGGTGCACCCCATTTTCTGTGGCCATTCGCTGTTCACTACGCCGCTCACAAGCTGAACCTGTGGCCCCACACTCAGTGGCCGCAGATTTCCCCGACCCTCCTCTGGACAGGGTCTCCTGGAGACGTATCTGCGTTACACGTCTGGGGATGCCTTGCTCACTTTCGTGCCTCTGGCACGGACAAGCTCACTGCCAGCACTGTCCCCTGTGTCTTCCTTGGTTTCCCCCTTGACTCGTCTGACTGGCACTTTTACCACGCGTCGTCTCACCGCTTCCTTCACTCGCGTCACGCCACTTTTGACGAGCATGTCTTCTTTTCCCCTCGCTTTCCCCACCGAGGTCTCCCGGTTTCCCCACCCGTGTTTCTAGTTCCCATTCCCCCGGTAGCCCCTGCTCCCCTTCCTCCATGTCTTGCTCCGTCTGGTGTGTCTCACGTCATTCCCGTCCCGTCAATTGTTCCGGTCGAGGAGCCGGCTGACTCTGGTGGCCCCGCAGTACAAATCTTGCCGCCTGCCTCTCCCCCAGTGTCCCCTCCTCCGTCGTCGCACTCACCGCCGCAACTGTCATCGAAGCCACAGCAGCAGCCACCGCCGTCGCAACAGCAGCAGCCGTTCGTGGACTCTGGTGGTGCTGGCGTTGAGGAAGGTGCTAGTCCTGGGGTTCCTGTTGTGGCTTGTCCTGGCAGGCTCGGGGGTGGCACTGGTGCTGGAGAGGGTTCGCGCACTAGGGGTGCTTGCTCTGGGGGTCCTGGAGTGTTCCAGAGGTAGCCATGGTGCAGGTGGTGGTCTAGGTTTCGGCATCGAGCAGCAGCAGTAGCAGTCGTCGCCTGTGTCCGCCCTTCGCCTGCTCGGCCTTCCCTCCTCTAACCATTTGCCTGTGCCTCCCCCGCCGCCTCCTCCCCTTCGTGTCCACGGTCCGGTTTCTCCGGCCCGTTTCCCTCTTCGTTTCCCCCTGTGTCTCCTCCTCGATCTCCTGACCCGACGCCTCCGTCTCACGTCTGGTCTCGCCGCCCCTCTCGTGCTCGTCATGTCTCTCATGTTCCGCATTCTCACACTATGTTGTTTCGTTCCCACGTATCTCGTCCTCCCCTCCTCCTGTCTCCTCCTTCGTCGTCGCTCTCTGTCGCGCCTCCCCCTCTGTCTGACTACCTTCGTGCTGTGCGTCCACTTGTTCCTCGCGTCATTGCCTCCCTCGTTACCGACCCGTCTGTTCCTATCTCGAGTCTTGACGCTCTTGTCGCTGCTGTCGCTGACTTCACCTCTACCTGCCGCCTTGACTACACCACAGCTCTGGTCTCTGCACCTGCCTGCCTTCCGTCCGTCGGAGGTGCTCCTGCCCTTGGCAATGATGTCCTAGAGGACAGGCAGTACGAGCTTGCTTTCCTATCCGAGGCTGCTCCCCATCTCTGTTCCATGCTGCTAGATCCTGAGGGTGACCTAGAAGCCTTTGACATCCCGACCCCTCGCACTTACGCTGAGGCGACCTTGGGCCCATGGGCCTCTCAGTGGATAGCTGCCATGGAGCAAGAGATGGAATCTTGGAGATCCACCGGCACCTACGTCGACACAGTTCCCCCACCTGGGGTGAACAAGGAAATCAGACCAGTTTGGTTCCCACTACCCTTACGTAAGCGAAAAAAGTTAAATGCATATCGCTTAGGAGGATGTTGATGGAATTTGGGCTACATGAAGCACCCAAGTTTGCATATGCTAGCCGCGGCTCGCTGCTTCCGTCGCTCGCTGCTTCCACCGCCTCGACGACCTCTTCCGTCTCCGCTTCGGCCTTGCGCCGGACCTTCCCGACTGGCCCAGTCTGGTGCGTCGCCATGTACCTACCAATGAGTTGGATATGGATCAGATTTGCATTGCTTTGCATGCCATGTATGCTGATGACTCGAGTGTGACCGGATCTTATTACCCTATGTTGCCTAGTATAGGTGTGCCCCCTGTGTGTAGTCTAGGCTCCCCTGCTACGTCAGGCATAGGACCCCCTACTTTGTTTAGCCTAGGCTCCACACTAGCCCCTCCGCCGGCTGACGCTACCGCTTCCCTCTCTTTCACGTTAGAATATGGAGCGTCTGCCAGCTTCTTCCGCGACCACATTGCGCTCATGCCGCTTGCCGCCTCTACCGCTGTCGCACTTGCTGGCCCCTCCTCAGGTCTGGTAGTTGCCCGTAGCTCCACCACCCTCCCTCGGGCTCTTTTACAGGCCTGCACATCCCCTCTTTCTCCAGGAACCTAGTTGGTTTCGGCTGTCTTCAGGACCTCGGCGTCACCACTACGTTCCCCGCACACGAGTAGTACACGGTCTGTATCGAGGCCGCCACTGATGCTCCTCTCACCACGTTCCCCCGGGACCCGATGTCTGGCATGTTTACGCTTGATACCGCGTCCCCCCCTATGAGGGCGTCCCCCCAGGTGCCTGCGTCTACCCAGGTCGCTGCGGCTTGTTCGTGTCAGTTGCTAACTCACCCGTCGTTCTGTGGCACGACCACCTAGGTCACCCCGCACTCCCGCGTCTGCGCCATATGTCCCACCACGGTCTTGTCGTAGGTCTCTCTGTGTCGCTTCCTGCTCTCCCTCCCTCACCTGGGCCGCCGTGCACGCCCTGCATCGAGGGCTGGCTGCGCCGTGCTCCTCACTCCTCCTCGTTTACCCCTACCTTTGCGCCACTTCAGACAATGCACCTGGACGTCTGGGGCCCAGTCCCCCTCCCCCTTTTCCCCTGCATCCCAAATTCCTCGCCACAGCCGACGCCTGACTCATGAGGGTCTTCCCCAGTGTCGCGGAGCTTGGCCACGCCGCCGAGAGGGCGGGGGCCGCTGCAGTCGCCTCTGATGTCGAAGCCGCTGCCTCCGCTGCTATAGCCGCTGGCTTGTTGCCGCCGCACGCCTTCGCCGCCGCTGCTGTTGTCACTACCGCCGTTGCCGCCGTTGCCATCTCACGGGCCCCGGGGATTGGCCGTGCCGGAGTAGTCGTGGCTGCTGTTGGGAATGGGGGTGCTAGGTTAGGGGGTGTGGGTGTGTGTGGGTTCTTCTACTACCAAGCCTAGGGGGTGTGTTAAATTATATCTTCGTTATATAATTGGTAGGCTTGGTAGGTATTACTGAAATGTACTGTAGAGGGTACAACCCCCTCCTTGTATCCCTCTCTCTTCTAGTCACTCTCTCTTTTCTCTCGTAACTTTCTCCTAGCTAAACCCTCTCGCCATTTCCATGGCTTCCTACCGTTCCTAGCTACCTAGCTCTCGTATCATCAACATGAGTTTTTTACTTGCTGGACTTCGAAGTTTGTGTAAGACGACGGTTGTTCACTTGTTATATTGTCATTACATGATGCGTTAGACACATTAGAGCAGTTCTAAACTATTTGTGATGTGTATGTTGGGAGCTCTCTATTGGTAATTAGGTTGGGCATCTAGTAATTGCACCATTGCATTCTTGCAACAAAGTGTTAAGCAAACTAACCTTCCGAGCCGACACACAAGCAATCTCAAACGGGTACTGGATGAGGGGCTGCCTGTCCACCAATCCAGAGCTCGCCACTTGGCGGCTGCGGATCCACTGGTCATCCTCGAGAACTTCCCCAGCATGCGGGAAACGGAGCGGAAGTGAATCCCCGCCAGTCCCAGCTTTGAGCTGGGGCAGCGGAACAGTGCGGAGAATGCTGTTCAGTCCCCACCAGTCCCACCCTCGCGTTTTTCCCGGCCTGGTCGCGCGGATGTTCCCCCCTTCCCCCCTCCACCCCCTCCCCCGCTCCACCTGCTCCACCCGCCCCACCCGCTCCTGCTTTTTCCTCCCCTCCTGTGTTGTGACTGGAAAAGCAATCTAATCATTTCTAGTGAGTTTCAAATCAGTGTTTTTCCTCAAAGCGGATTCCATCTCGCGTGCACTCATCTGTTCTTGTTTCTTTGAAAGCAGTCGTTTGTCGTGGTCTAGTCGCGCTGCTATAGTATCATACCGATATCCTTATTACTTTGCCGTCGTGGCGCCATCAAGGTGGAAATAAGGATCCCTAAGAGTAAATTCTTCGCTATTGGTGCCAGGATTAGGGTTTGCACGGTAACCTTGTTGAGACGCTGTAGAACGCCCGTAGACCTTCGTCCGTATCGGTTCTGTGCGGTTCTGCGCGATCCTGGGCGAAACTGTCTGTTTCTCGTTTTGGAGCCTCGCCTCGCGACGGCTCCGATATGAGAAAACCCGCATTATGATTCATGGCAAGGTTAGCGAGCCACGCTTCAGAGAAAGCGGAAGGTCGTTCCGGAAGGACTGCTGGATCGCCATGCGGTGCGGAGGAGGACGGCGAGGCCGGCGGGGAACTTCTTAAACCGGCGGAGATTCCGAAAGAAGCGGATGTCAGCAACAGCAACCAATCGGATAGCTCGAGACGAACGGACCTTGTCGAGCAGGCGGACGAGCAGTCCGAGGCTTTGAAGCGGGCATCCGCGTTAGGAGGAGAAAGCCGTCGCCTTGACGGTTCTGGTGACGCGACGAAGCAGGATTCGGGGAAGGGAGACGAACGGCCGAAGGAATCTGCGAAGAAGAAGCGGGTACGTCAGCTTGCTTAGCCAATGATAATTTCTTTCGTGAAAACGTTTCCGTCGCGAGGGGGGGTGGGGGTATTTTTGCGAAGCTATTGTTGCTGCTGGGACGCTTTCCCGAGCTAGTTTGTTGTCCTGGTAAGGAGATTTCCTTTTCAAAGACAAATACGTAGTCGTCTAGTTCATTTACTCTCACTTCCGTCCCATTTCCCTCGTCTCCCCTACCTCTCTCGTCTTCCTTCCCTCTCACCTTCCCTCTCTCCTTCCCTGTCTCCCCTCTCTCCTTCCCTCTCTCCTTCCCTCTCTCCTTCCCTCTCTCCTTCCCTCTCTCCTTCCCTGTCTCCCCTCTCTCCTTCCCTCTCTCCTTCTCTCTCTCCGTCTCTCTCTCCTTCCCTCTCTCCTTCCCTCTCTCCTTCCCTCGCGCCCCACTTCCTTCCCCGTATCTCTTTTACCCCCGTCCTCCCTCCGCGCATGCTTACCCCCTCGCTCCGCCCCCGTTCCGCATCCTCCCCGCATTCCCTTTCCCCAACCCGCCCTCTTTCCCCCTTTTCTCCTCTTTCCCCCTTTTCTCCTCTTTCCCCCTTTTTTCCCCTTTCCCCCTTTTCGCCTCTTTCCCGTCCCGACCTCCCCCCCCTTCTCCCTCCCCCCCCTCCCATCCCCTTCCCATACATACCTGTGTCGTCTGGTGCATTGTCGTTGCATCTCAGCCGTCCAACAAGACAGCGAAGCTCAAGCAGAGCAAGTTGGATGCTCGAAGGGAGCAATTTCTCGCGCAGGGTGAGTTGATAAGAGCAAGGTGAGATGTGAGTGGATAAGTCCAAGGAGAGATGGGAGTGGATAAGAGCAGACCTCGAGAAACTAGACAGGAGGACTGTAACGAGTGCTGAGCGAAGCGAGAGTGCAAGTCGATTGGGGCGGGGCCGGAGCACATGGGGTGAGGTGACTTTTGAGTCGACTCAAAAGTCACCGGAGCACATTTTTGAGGCGCCTCAAAAATCGCCTCAAAAATCGACTCAAAAATTGAGTCGACTCAAAAGGCACCGGAGCACATGGGGTGAAGCGGGTGTGTGAAAAGCACCCCCCTTGGTCCTCTCCCCCACCCCCCCCCCCCTCCCCCCCCCCTCCCCCCTCCCCGCCCCCCCCTCCCGCTCTCTCTTTCTTTTCCCTCCATCCTTCCGTTTTCCTTGCTGACCTTTTCTCGTGGCCCTCCGTCCACCCATCCTGTTTCCCTGCCCTCGTTCCGTTTCCTTGTCTCGGGTAGTCTGTTTTTGAGGCGCCTCAAAAATCGTTTCCTTGTCTCGGGTAGCCGGTTTGTAGCTGTGTCTTTCGTCCCCCTCACCTTAGCAGTTGGCTTGGCTCGTCGTGTGCTTTTCTTTTCTCGCTTCTTTTATTCCTTCTGCATCTGAATTGCCCTTCAAACTTTGGGTTACCTTCCAGTGTCTGGGTTTCGCTTTAGCATCTGGGTTTTCCTTCCGCATCTGAAATTGCCCTTCAGCCTTTGGGTTACCCTTCACCATCTCGGTCACCTTTCAGCGTCTCCGTTGCCTCAACTATCTTGTATCCTCTTACCTTCCCGCTTCCCACAGTTGCTGCCTTTTGAGTCGACTCAAAAGTCACCTATCTTGTATCCTCTTGCCTTCCCGCTCGCCACAGTTGCTGCTGCTGCCGTTGCCAAGACTGCATCCCCGAAAGCTCAAGGTGCCAAGCAAACTCCCAAGGGCTCCCTTGACGGGAGCCACACTGACAAAAAAGGTGCCCGTGTGACAGTAGAGGGATCTGGTGTGATTATAGAGGACACCCGTTCCGATTCTCGAGATTCGCTATTCCTCCCCAGTGGCACTGCGCCTGAGAGTGACAGAGCAGAGCGTGACAGAAGCGAGAGCGCCGCTGCGGCTGAGGCTGCCAGTTTGAAACCCGGGGCTGGAGTTTCAGGGCCAGCAGGGGAGACAGGGAGAGCGAAGGACACAGAGCATGGCCAAACGGTTAGTGAGCACATACCCAGTGGTACTGCAGAAAGTAGCGTTCCGCTTGCCAATGGGAACTTGGGAATTGAGGCTCAAAGAGAGGCGGAAAGGAAGGAAGACGGAGGGGAGGGAGGGAACGCAGGAGGGGCTGGGGAGGACGATGAGAAGCAGTGGTGGGAGGACTCGGATGATGATGCGGGTGATGCAGGGGAGGTTGAGGAGGGGAAGGTTGATACGAGGGAGGGCGCTACTGCAACAAGTGATAGCGATAGAGAGGCAGCAGGGAAGTTGATACAGGGAGAGAAGTCAAAAGAGGGCGAGAAGTCAAAAGAGGGCGAGAAGTCGAGAGCGGGTGAGGAGACACGGCGAAAGGAGGAGGAGACACGGCGAAAGGAGGAGGAGAAAGAGGCTGGTGAGAAGTCAGGGCAGACCTTATATGAGGGACGAGGGGGTGGCGGAGAAATTCCTCTTACGGGCAAGGGAGTTGCGGAAGCAGCAGCGACGGGGGCTCTGACGAAGGGAGATGAGGCCGGGGAGGCTGTTACTGGCTCCCTCACACACAGGAGTAGCATCAGCAGCAGTAATAAGCCGGCTGCTGGGGGTGAAGCGGAATCAGCAGCGGTGGTCGATGGTTCGCCGGCTGGTAGTGGGACGGCTGGTAGTGCGACGGCTGGTAGTGGGTCTGCTGCTGCTGGGGTGAAGGTGGGTGGGAAGAAGGGGAAGAAGGGGAGGGAGGGGAGGGAGGGGAGGGAGGGGAAGGAGGCAGGGGAGGTGCATGAGAGAAACGCAGGAGCGAGGCAGAGAAGGAAGGAGCCTGGGCGGGGCCGAGTAGAGGGGGATTTTGGAGCTGGGAGCCGTGAGGTGCCTGGTAACGGCAGTACCAGCAGCAGCTGTGATGCTGCGAGAAATTGTGAGTGCGGCAGCAAGGGCAACGGCAAAGGCATTGGCAGGGGGGGTGGAGGGAGCAAGGAGGGGGAGGAGCGGCAGTTGGAAGAGGGGAAAGGGAAGGAGGAGAGGGAGAAGAGCGAGGAGAGGGAGAAGAGCGAGAAGAGTGAGAAGAGCGAGAAGAGTGAGAGGAATGCGAGGCGGAAAAGGAACGGAGTGGTCAATGGAACACGGGGGATTGGTGGCTGTGACATTGTCTCTGGGAAGGTTGTTGAGCTCTATGTGAAAGGGAGGGAGAAGAAGGGCGAGAGTGGGGAGGGGAAGGAAAAAAATATATGTGAGAGTGGTGAGGGGAAAGACGAGATGGGATGCGAAGAAGGTGGAAAGGGTGGGGAGAATGGTGAGAGCCGAGACCTGCTGATAATGCTGAAAGAGGGAGCAGCAGGGGCGGACTGCCGCATGAACGGGTGGCATGCACATGGGGAGGGGAACGAGGGCGGTCTGGACAGTAACGGGGAGGACAATAAGGAGGATGAGAATGATCAGAAGCAGCAGCAGGGTGAGGAGGAGAGTGGTGATGAGGAGGACGATTGGGAAGCTGCAGCTGATGCCATTTGCCAGGAGGTGAAAGAGGAGCATATTGTGGACGGGGGAGGGGAGGGGTTGGACGGAGGGCAGGGAGGGGAGGGGGAGAAGGGTGTTGCAGCGACACACCTGTATGGCTCACGTATACCTAGAGACCCGAGTTCTGCTGTTACTCTTAGCAGTGCCAACTGCACCAGCAGTAGCGGCTACGGCGGTCGCAACGGTTGGGGGAGTTACGGTGGCCAGGGGGGTTTGCATTGGGAGGGGGGGTTGAGACCTGGGGTCAGGATGAGCGGGCAAATAGCGGATCGGCAAATGATGGCTGGACCAATGATGAATGGACCAATGGTGAACGGACCAATGATGAACGGCCACCACGCGTCCCATGCAAGACTCACCTTTCATTCGGACTCCCCTGGGTCGTCTTACTTCCCTCCTCGTGGCACGGCCCCTCCATTCACCTCCTCCTCCTCCTCCTCCTCTTTCTCCTCTTCTTCCTCCGCCCGTGTCTCCGATTCCCAAGTCACCCCTCTCTCGTCTTCCTCCTTCCCTTCCTCCTCCACTGCCAGTCTCAGACCAAACAGCTCTCTCCCCTCCCCCCCTTCCTCCTCCGCCTCCTCTTCCGCCTCTGCCTTCTCACTCACCCTGGGAGGTTCCCAGAGCATTGATTTCTGCAATGGGGCCAAGATAAGCGGCGGGGGCTTGAGGCCCGAGTACACCTACAACGCAGCAGGCATGGGGGGCCGAGCTCAAAGCGGGGGCATGGGGGGACGCGCTCCTTTCCGCTGCCCTGCTGCGGCCTCTGCTGCCGCTGCTAGCGACCGGGGCTGGCGCACTGACGAGCCCAATCTTCTTGATTTGAGGCACCTCAAAGTTTCCTCTGCATCTGCTGCACCAGCTGCTGCTGCTGGTGCTGGTTCCTCGTCTGCTGCTGCTGGTGCTTCCGCTGCTGCTTCTGCAGTGTCTACTGCTGCTAGTGAGCGTGCGTGGCGGCCGGATGACTCGTCTCGCCCCCCTTCCCTGCCTCCCCCGGTTGCCCTTCTCTCCGCCTCCTCCCCTTCCTCTTCCCCTTCCGCCTCGTCCTTCTCTTGCTCTTTCTCGTCCCTGCACTATCAAAGCCAGCAGCAGCAGGACTTCCCTCTTGCTCCCAGCTTTGCACACATGGGCGGTGACAGCAGTGGCACGTGGAACTCCCACCACCGCTCCTCCTCCTCTTTCTCCACCTCCTCCTCCCCTTCAGTCTGGACTCTTGCCAGTTTCATCCGCTCCTCCCATGACGCCTTCCCCACATCCACCTCCTCCTTCCCACCATCCAGCGAACCGTCATCATCAGCAACAGCAGAAGCAGCAGGAGCAGCAGCAGCAGCAGCAGCCACGCAGCTCTGTCCAATCTGTGCTGAAGAGCTTGACAATACGGACTCTTCCTTCCTGCCCTGCTCCTGCGGCTTCCGCCTCTGCCTCTTCTGCCACCATCGGATAGCTTCGGACGACGGCCGCTGCCCTGGCTGCCGCCAAGCCTACAGCCCCGACGTTGCTGCTAAACTCTCCCGCTCGCCCAACCTAAAACTCCGCTCGTAGCCTCGCAGTTCTCTCCAGTTTTGAAAAATTGAACGATCTGTTGGATACTTTTTACCATGGCAGCAGCAGCAGCAGGAGCAGCAGCAGCATCAGGTGGGAGAGCAAGAGTGGATGTGCATGGGTAGCTTCAATTTTGTTCGGCTGTTTGTTACCATATTCCCAAATGGTATGCGTCCGAGAGTCCAGTATCGTACACACATTAGCTATTGCCACGCTTCCTTATCTTGCAGAGCTGGTTTCCTTATTTTTAGCCAGTTGCTCTGCACGCTGTTGTTTATTCCTGTTGGTGTTTCTTCAACGTTGCCTCTTTATTGTCTGCCCGTTTACACTGTATGCTTCTCTACAAAACTGTAGTAGTAGTTTTTCTGTAGCCTTATATCAATGACGACAAGAATGTTGGATTGAATGGCGTCTGGCAGATCACAGGCGTGAACAGACAATTGCCTGGACCGCCCAAACCTGCAGCGACGCGCTGCGGAGGGAAATGTACACCTTTGAAGCAGGTACGGAAACTATATGTTGCAGGTACTGTACGGTAAGCTGCCCTATAGTAGGTTCCGAGGAACTGAATGAAGGCCAAATAGAGGGCAAATCATGCCTCAGAAAATATTATAATGGTTACTGGGCAAAATGTTCGTTTCATATGGCAAGCAGTGGCTAAGTTTCTAGAACGAGCTTGTCAAATCAAAGCAATGCAGATTTACACCAAATCACACCCTACAAAACTGTGAGTGCACCTTTGCACCAGTCACACAAAGAGACAGCGCCTAAGACACGACGCAGAGGGAATTTCTACCATCCTTGCTACGCCTCCATTCAACACCAAGTGAGCAGAGGAAACTGAACCAGAGATTGCAGAACTAGAAGCGGCAGACGCCGACGCAATCCCAACAGCAGACCCAACAGACCCAGAGCTCTCATCAGCCAGGCTGCAAAAGCCCGATCCAAACCCGTGCACAAGCCCATGCTGCTGCTGCTGCTGTGGCCCGGAGGCGGGTGAAGGCTCCATGGGTTTGAGCATATAAGAAACGAGGTTTGACTGAGGAGGTTCAGCTGCTCGAGATGAGAAGCATGAACCAGTTGCTCCTGACAGGTGAGACTTGCCCACTCGTGCTGTTCGGCAGCACCTTGCCACTGCTCCTGCGGCTCCCCCTGCTCCCGCTGCTCCTGCTGCTGCAGATGCTCCTGCCGCTGCTGCAGGTGCAGCAGGTGCTGAAATCGGGCAGGGAGACGGGCTGGGCTCTGCGCTGGGGAGGGCTGGCGCGAGCACAGGGGTTGCATCCGGTGTGATGGGCGCCAACGCAGGGACGGAAGGAGCCACGCCTGCGCCGGTCGGCAGCAGTGCAGCGCTCGAAGTGGGGACGATGGAGGACGAGGAGGAGGATAGGGACGCGCAGGCTGATGCGAAGGAGGAGGAAGTGGAGACGTCGTTCGCCTGCAGATGAGTAGCAGCAGCAGCAGCAGCAGCAGGAGGTGCCGTGGGAGCAGCAGCGACAGGAACAGCGGCTGGTGGGAGCTGGAACTCTCCGGAAGTGGGCGGGGTGGGTGCAGTGGCGAGCAGAGGAGTGGGGTGGGTGAGAGTGGGCGGAGCGAGGGTGCTTGAAGGTGTGAGGGGCTTTCGAGCCGTGGAGGGTGCGATGGGTTTGCGAGCGAGCGCCAAGCAGGGGGAAATGGGATCCAAGTCGGAGCGGGCAGGCGAGGGAGCGGAGGCGCCACGAGAGGGGGTGGAGAGATTGGGCAGCCACAGCAGCCGCTTGGGAGCCAGCCGTTTCTGCTGCTGGTGCTGATGCTGCTGGTGCTGCTGGTGCGGATGGTGCTGGTGCTGGTGATGGTGCTGGTGCTGCGGCTGTTGGTGCATCGGTTCGTCTTGCTCCACTGGGCAGAGCTGGAACGTCCGGAACAGTTGTGTTGGGCGTGACTGCTGCTGCTGCTGCTGCTGTGGCTGCGGCTGTGGTTGCTGAGCTGAGAAGAGTGGCTGCTGTGCCTGACTCTGCGTTTGCGGTTGCTGCTGCTGCTGCTGTAGCTCCACCTGTTGCTGGCACCGTAGTGGCGAAGCGTGGTAGCCAAGAGGCGCACTCCCCGCGAGAACAGCCGACCACGGCGATCCCACCACCGGTGACTGCGCAACCCACTGACTCGCCGCAGGCGACTGCGCAACCCACTGCCCCCAAGGGGACGGCGCAACCCACTGCCCCGCAGCAGGTGATGGCGCAACTGACGGGGCGGCGAAGGGGGAAGGAGACCCTGCCACCCGCATCGCCGCGATTCTTCCCAGAATCGGCGTCACACCAACCGCCGGGGACAGGAGTGGCGTCACCGCTGGCGTCATCGCTGGCGTCATCATGGCCATCGGGGGGGACAGGAGCGCGGCGGCCACGTTCGTCGATCCGCACGTGCGCACAGGCGTCCCCGCAAGTTCCGCAACAGGCCATGCGCGCGGTCGGAGGGGCGACGCGAACCCGCCGCTCATCATTGCGCCGCCGGCGCCCATCCCCGGGCCGTTCACCGGGAAAGTTCCCGGTCGTCCGTTCGGGAACACTTTCCGCCGTACGATGCGCCCGCCGCGCGTGTGCACGAGAACCCACGGATGCGCGAGGAGCTTGAACGCGGGCGGGCGGCGCGCGGGGTCTTTAACTAGCAGGCAGCGGACGAACGCCTTGGCTTCCGCCGACACCGTCCGCCACGCGGGCGCGGAGAAATCCGGCTCGTCGGTGCAGATCGAGCGCATGATCTGCGCGTCGTCCTTCCCGCCGAAAGGCGGCGCGCCGCAGAGGAGGATGTACAGCACGACTCCCAGCGACCACACGTCCGCTGCGAAGTCGTAGGCGCTAGAAACAACCTCGGGAGCCATGTATAGCGGAGACCCCGCGATTCCGGAAGCCTTTTCGCCCTTGGCGAGGAAAATCGCGAGTCCGAAATCCGCGAGCTTCACGGTGACTGCCTCTCGCGGCGTCGCGACGCCCTCGGGAGCTGCAAGGGTGGAATCCGTCCCGGAAACTGCGCCGGAATTCCCACCAGAGTAAGCGCCGGACGACGCGGCGGAGAGAAGGATGTTCTCGGGCTTGAGATCCCGATGCATGACGCCCTGCGAGTGGCAGTACGCGACGGCCGACACGAGCTGCTTAAACACCTTCGCGGCCTCCTTTTCCGGGAACCTTCCTTGCCGCTCCACGGCTTCGTACAGCTCCCCCGCGTCGCAGTAGTCCATGACGAGATGCATGGACTCCGAATCCTCGTGAACGGATTGTAACTGTACGATGCTGTCGTGGCCCGACACGCGTTTCATAGCCGCGATCTCGCGTTTCATCTCCGTCTCGCCGAACTTGGAGCTGTTCTTGGAAATGCTCTTGCAAGCGAACGTTCTCCGAGTTACCAGGTCCTCCACGGCCCAAACCTGGCCGAAATGGCCCTGGCCGATCATCCGCTTCTTCGCATAACGCTCGTGCAGCGGAACGGCTGACGTCAGCGACGATGGTGCCGCTGCTGGAGCTGGTGCTGTCGCTGGTGGTGGTGCGAGGATGGGAGAGGAAGCGGGTTTCGATGGAGTGGAAAGCAGACGGAGGTCCGGGAATTCCGGAACGGAGACGTTTCGTTTGTGGCGGTTGGCGGAGTAGGGAGAGGGAGCGAAGGTGACGAAGTCGGAGAAATCATCGCGAGCCATGGCGGGTGGAAGCTGAGGTGATTGGAATCCTCGTGGCTGAAAGCACTCGCGAGCCACGGACAAACCGTCGCGCTCTGCTTGCTCGCAGCCGTTCCTGGCGGTCATGGTCGACGAAAGCACTCTCTTCTCGACTCGAAAGAATAGTCTCTAACTCGGAATATTAGGTAGATGAAGTCGCGGGAATGAGGATTTGTCACAAGCTGAGATGGTTCGTCTTGAAAAGGAGGGAGAGATTCCTCAATAAGATATTTGGAACGAGGCTAGCATGATGGAGCACTCCATGAGGGAGGAATTCGCAGGACGAAGCACGCTCAAGGGAACCGCTGGCTGAAAGAAAGCGAGGTCAACACAGGAGAAGCACAGCTGGAGCGTCGGGTGTGGTGGGTACTGTAACTTCTAGAGCCTAGTTGTACAAATGCCAGAGACTTACTGGAGCCCGGTGGTTCAAATATTCGATATTTTCAGGCTTCAGCTGACCGACTGAAACCACCTCGATAACTGCTCGCCCTGCGTTGCCTTGCGTGGCGTTGTGTCTGCTGAAGGGGTGGGGGGAAGGGGGTCCTGATGGGGGTTGGGGAGTTTTGATGCGGAAGGTTTAGCGGGGAGAATTGCAGTTTTCCGCTCAATCTTCCGGTATGGCGGTGACCAGCTGGGGCGAGGTTGGTGAGGTGGGGCGGAACGGGGCAAATAATTCCACTGCGAGGTTCTGGTTCATGTGATGGCCAAACTGACGTTCGCATGGCCTTCAGCTTCGCTATGCACCAATCTCGAAGAAACCGAAGGCCATGCGAATGTGGCAGTGCCCATGGAGTGCATGGCGAATGCGCCAGAGCGCAGAGAGTTTTGCGGAGCGGAGGTGCAGCGAGCGGGAACCAGGGTTCTGTTCGAGCGCGCATACGAAACAGGCTGCGCAGGCGGTGCCGTGGGCGCTTTGCAACTGTTCGGGGCGAGGGGTTCCAACTTCCAATCAACCTCGGCATTCTGGGGTATGCAGTGGGAGACCAATCCGCGCATCAGTGTTGATATGAGCGAGCAGAGAGCATCCGCACGCACGTATGAACTGACCCGCCTCCTGAAGAGTCAGTTCATTGGGATCTGGGGACTGCGCGCAGGTGAAGATCGGGGGGCGGGGAGGAGGAGAGGGAAGGACGAAGAAGTGGAAGTTGCGGGATTGGTGGGCCCTGAGTCCCGACTCCCGACTCCCGAGTCTCTCGAAGCCCCTCTGGCCCTGCCCCCTGGTGCGCATGTGGGACATTTCCGGAGATTGGTTGGCTGACGCAGGTAGGTTTGAGACCCTGGCTGGAGTCGCGTGTGCAAATTGGCTGCGCTCAGTCGAAAGGCGCAAACTCATTGGCTGAGATGTTAGGGGTGCGAGGGAACCAGGAAACAATCCCTAGACTAGTCAGCAAGTTCAAAATGGCAGAGGACCCCCCTACTTGGCGGGGACCATTTGAGCACCAAAACTTTCCCGCCAGAAATCGAGTCAGACAGGACCTCCTGTGGATTCAAATGACCAGCCAGCTTCAGCCGAGGTTCTGGCTCACGGTGTGTTACCCAATGGCGAAACCATGCCTTCCCACAAGCTCTCACCAGGTCACTCATGCTCAGCAGCACCATCTGCGCGTATGCTCGTGCGGGGGGAAGTCGGGGGGGGGGGGGGGAATGGAAGTGGGGGAGAAGCCTGATCTGACGCGACGGGTCTGCTCCAATTCGAGGGCCTCCAAGCATCTTGCGGTCGGCGTGATGGCTCCAGGTCGTCTCCCAGCGCTACGGCTTTCTCTCATCCAGCTACCCCGAAACCTGGGGAATTGGATAAATGATGGACTGTACTATGGTATCTGTAAAAATATACAGAAACCCCGTCTCGGAAGTCCGTGGAAACTCCGAGCTGGGTAGCTGAAAATAAGTTCAGTCAGACTAATTTTTAACTGGGAATCCCAGAGATCTTGTTGGTCTGGGAGGAAAGGTATTTTAGACTTTCTAGAAATGCACAGAACACATCTAGAAATTAGACAACCGCAACCACTTTGAATAGTTTGCCATCCGAAAAACTACCCATTGAGTGAAAAGTATTGCAAGACCCACACCTGCGCCGCCAGCCACCGTAGGGAGGCGAAGCACGTATCCCTCCAGCCTTTCAGGAGAGAATGCGGAAGATATTTCATATGGAGACAAAAATCTGACAGGCAGAGAAAAATCACGGGGATTCTGGAAAAGTTGTCTCTACGGCAATTCGTTGATTGTACTGAATTCCATCATGCGCTTCACATGGGTTTCCTTGGATATGTCGGGGATAAGCCAATCGGGGTGAACTGTCTGACAAGTGAAACAATCTCCCGGATTTGCAGCTGAAAAAGGTACATCGGTGCTGTATTGTCTTGACTCCTTGCTGCTGACGTGAGTTTGACTTGTGAATCCAATATCCCTTGGCAAATTGTATACTCGATGGTGTACGCTCTGGTTCATGCTAAAGAGCAATCATATTGTGCGAAACCGTGATACTTTGACGCAAAAAAATGACGTGCATGCATCATATATGATGGCTCCTTCGCTCTATGAGGACTCTTTGCTTTAAATTTCCTTTGTCAAAGTGCTGACATGTAACCACCTGCAGTTCGTAGACAGGTGCAAAATGAAATACGCCCTAGGCTGTACGATGAAGGCAGAAACAAAACCGTGAGCGGTTCCTGCCGATCTGCCGTTTCCGTTAGCTTACTTGTTGGTTGCCCGTTTCTAAGTTTGCCCCCCTCCGTCTGTGTGTCGTTTGCGCATTTCATTGTCAGACTTGGCGAGGCCACTGGGGTTCGAATTGTAGCTTTACCAGGCGTTTCCTAGGTCGAGGTGCGAAAGTCATGGCGATTCGCGTTTCAGCGAGAGGTCAGCCTCACTTTCAGAATCAGCCCATCAACGCCTTTCGAAGCTTGACAGGTCCCAGCAATGACAGGATGCCATTCCACATCCACATCGCTCGATGCGGCCTGTGAACCCTGATCCGGACTGATGAAATACGCCCTAAATAAGTCGGGGCGTGTTTGTTGAGCATCCGAAACGCATAAGACAAGCATGGTTTGAATCGAACACATAACGGCAGGAACGGCAGAGCTGAACCATGCATGGCTCTTTCATAACAGACATCCATCCATCCAAACCCCAAGAAAACTGTAGTCCCTGAGGGCGTGGTGCATCGGCTCCAAATGCGTCCGGACTAACCCTGTGACTACGTTTGCCAAAATTCGCGACATGTCGCAAGGCACATGCAAGAAGATGGACGGTCAGGGCGTCCGAACTTCGTCCGGTCAGGTCCGGACGCCCACGTCCGGATTACTGAGAGCAGGTTAGGCACAGTGCATCAAGCTGGCTGGACAACATCAACGAAAAACCCTGGAGTTCGCGGGGCATTCACGAAACCCAACAGGGTCAGCGCACGTCACATCATGCAAACAAAACCCACAAATTCCTACACTTTCGCTTTGCGAAACTGTTCTTGGCTTACAGTGCTCCGCAAATTTCGCCAGCGTCGCTGCTTGACCCGCTAGTCCGAACCAATAAAGTTACAGGTCGCGGTCCGAGCACCTTTTGTGGTACACCTTTGACGTCGGTGTGATCCGGACGTTTGCGAAAACCCCGCCCGGATTTCTGTCCGAATTTTTTGGCTTTCGGAACGGCTGCACCACGCCCTCATGCGGTGATGTGTGGTGCGGCACGCTGGGAAGTGTTTTCCGTGCTTGAACCGTACAAAACGTACAGCAGACAACTCTTTTTGGACAGCCCTCAATCTCAACCACCACTGCGAAGACTTCAAGTCACACGAGCGGCACCGCACCGACCGACCAGTGTTCCTCACTCCCTCGTTCCCGTTTCTGCTCTATCCGCTGCTTGTGCTCGAGAGGAGATGCGCCCTCTTCAGACGAATTAGGGTGGAACCTCGAAGTGCTCAGAAATAATAGCGAAGCCTAGCAATAGCAACAGCACAACGCGTAGCGCTCCCGTCTATCAGTCAGGGTCGTACAGTACACGCAATCGCGCCGCATCGGCTCTCTCTCAGCGGCTAGTGGAGTGACAGTGCAGTAGACACGACCCTCAGCGCGTAGTTAGACTCCTCGCCATGTTGCTTTTCCGGGAGCTCATTATTTGTGCGATTCAATTATGCGATTTACTGTTGTTAAAGAAGTCCGCTAATCGCACATAGGGACACCATTCCCGACGCGCATTCCCTACACGCACTCCCGATAGCTCAGGTCCCACTGCTCGCGCGTTCAACGTCAACATGGAAACTGGCCGACACATTTAGTCTCCACGGATGGACGAATCTGCGTTTGAGATTTTTGAGTCGACTCAAAAATCACCGACGAATCTGCGTTTGATTCGACTAAAAAACGACAACATGGATACTGGCGAAGAGATTTAGTCTCCACGGATAGACGAATTCAGATATTTACTTACGACGCGACTTGCGACGCCTAATTATTATCGGCTCGGAAATGGCCGACGCTCAATATCGCCTTAGTGAGCTGTTCTTTTGACGAAGCTTTCGTAGTCGTCCTCGCCTTCGTCGCCTTCCTGGTTTCGTTTCGCCGTCGCAGTCGTCGTCGCCGTCGCCATATCCGGCGTCACTAGCAAGATCGTATTTGTTTACAACCCATAGGCAAACGGCCACGTTTGAGCTCAGCGGCGGCGGCAGGGTTGAGGGTGTACCTCCGAGCAGCACCCATATGCTTGCATTTGAGAATGCAGGGGCAGCGTCGAAGCTTGCTTCACGAAGCACGTAGCAGGAGGTAGTAGCCGTGGTGTTTATCGTCCGTTACTCCGGTTCTTTCACAACTCGGGTACCTCCTTTTAACGGGGATACCAAGTTTACGACCATGAGGAAAAGCGAATCATACCATGGACCGGCTCTCCGCGAGTCCCACCCCTTACGCCACGTGTCCCTCCCCTCACGCCGCCACGTGTCCCTCGCCTTCCTCGGTCCTTTCCACCTCCCCCTCCTCCTCCTGCCCCTCCTCCACTCTCTCCTCCCCTCATCGCCGTTCACCAGCCCACTGATGGTAGCCGGTACGTTACTTTTGAGTCGACTCAAAACCCTCCTCCACTCTCTCCTCCACTCTCTCCTCCACTCTCTCCTCCACTCTCTCCTCCCCTCATGGCCGTTCACCAGCCCACTGATGGTAGCCGGTACGCTACCTCTCACCACCGAAGCCGGTACAGCTGGCTCCTCTTCCCTTGGCGCTTAGGTGTTCCCTGGATGTTGAAATTGTGTGTATGTATGCTGTTTGCGTGCTGCTCGTGTGTAATACGGGTGTCCTGTGCGCTTACTGAGTGCGTGACAGCTCTTAGTCCGTCTCTCCTTACCTGTTCCCTCCCCCCCCACCCCCCCTCCCTCCCCTCTTCCCTCCGTCCGCCCCGCTGCTGCGCGGCACAGCGGCTGCTTGCCCCGCGAGCATCCCCACAGTCTATGCCAACCCCAGCGGATCCCAATCCGCATGCTGCGGCTCACAAGACAACCCCTGTGGTACGTTTTTCCGGCTAGCGCAGTGTAGCCTCTAGTCTCTCTACTCAGTGAGCAGTTGACAGTGGGCCTCTGGGCCGTCTCTAAGAGCAACCGTGTCTGCTTGGTGCGGGCCCCAAACCAGCCCCTCTGGTCGCTGTCAGTGTGAGATCAAGGCAACGAAGGCTGGTGTGTTGTGCTTGAGTCGACTCAAGTATTTGTCAGATGCGGGTTCCAAACCAACCCCTATTGTGCTTGAGCCGACTCATATGCGGGCCCCAAACCAACCCCTATGGTCGTTATCAAGTCATTATCAAGTCAAGGCAATGCAGGCTGGTGTGTTGTGTTGAGTCAAGTAAGAGCCTTGTGGGCGAGGGACACCATTGGCTCGTGATGGGCCCACGCCCCACAAGCATTCCCACTGTCTCCACCCACGGCCTTCTCTGGCGGTGGCTGTCGGCTGCCAACGAGTTCCCTGCGTTTTGTGTCGAGCCATGTTAATAGCTTTGAATCTGCCACTTTTTCCGTTTCCCCGTTCGTCGAATCCACATCCTTTTCTGTCTACCCGTTCTGCCGTTTCGCTTCCCCATCGCTCTCCACCCGTGCAGGCTCACTGGAAGCAGCACTTGCCAGGTTTGCTTCCTCCTCTCACCCCACTGCTTTGCACCCCACTGCTTCACACGCACCACGTCCGTCCACGTCCGTCCACGTCCGTCCACGCCCGTCTTTTGAGTCGACTCAAATGCCCGTCCATGCCCGTCCATGCCCGTCCATGCCCGTCCATGCCCGTCCATGCCCTTCCATGCCCTTCCATGCCTGTCCATGCCCGTCCATGCCCGTCCATGCCCTTCCATGCCCGTCCATGCCCTTCCTTTCACATTTGAGCTCCAGTCGATCGTTCATTCCAATGTTGAGAATTCTGGTCGCTCACCCATATAGGATCCAATTTGAGTTGGTTCTTGAGAATTCTCGAAAACCAGTCCATCCATCCATCTACTCGCCCCGCCCAATCCCTTTTGATCACCTGCCCAATATTGTTCTATCTTCGGCCCAGATTTTTTTTCAAATTGCAGCTTGTTTGACAAAGTTGCCCCTCTCTCATATCCATCCTCGCCGCGTTTACTCTTACCGTTCTCGCCCTCTCCTCTCTCACCATCACGGGACGTATTTTTAGGCTCCTAGAAAATCGACTCGCTTTTTAGTCGACGCTCATGTCATTTTCCCTTACCGCTCTTACCCTTCCACCTCTCCCCAGCATGTTTCGCCACTCTCTGTTCTCCTTTCCAACTTGTCAGGATTCTCTTAGCCTCCCCTCCCTCCCTTACCAACCCCCTTTCCCCCCTCTCTGCAGAGCTGCTGACAACGCTACAATCACACTCGCTTCAGGCACATACACTCGCACCACTCCCCTCCCCCCCAACTCCACCACACCCCCCACCACCACCACGACCACCATCACCTCTCTTCCCCCTCCCTCCGCCCCCATCCTCCTCCCTCCCCTCCTCTCCCTCACCATCCTAGGCCCGCCCCCCCCCTCCCCTCCTGCTATCCTTAACTGCAATGGCGGGCCTTGTATCATTGCCTCATGCCAGCACAGCAGCAGCAGCAGCAGCAGCAGCAGTAACGGCAGCGACGGCGGCAGTGGTAGTGGTGGTAGTTGGTGTGGGCAGCAGCAGCCGGTGCTGGTGGTGGCGCATTTGAGTGTGGTGAATGGGGTGACCGCAGGGAGTGGAGGATGCCTGCTGATTGATGGATACAATGCGGTGCTTAGGTAAGTAAGTGCGGTGCTTAGGTAATTGCGTGCTTAGGTAAGTAAGTGCGGTGCTTAGGTAAGTGCGGTGCCCTGGTGAGTGCATTGTTTAGGTGAGTACTGCGCCAAAGAAAGTCCTGGTGCTTGAGTTTTGGCATGGTGCACATTTTCCTCCTCGCCTCTTTATTTGTCAAAATTCTGTGCACTGCTTTCTTCTCCCTTCCCACTCTCTCCTCCCCTCCCCTCTCTCCTCCAATCCCCTACAGCCACGTGTCCTTCTCTAACTGCACGTCAACAGGCCCCAGTGGCGGTGCAATAGCTGTTCTAGGAGCTGCTACAGCTGCTGCTACAGCCACTGCCACAGTCGCCGCTACAGCTGGTGCTACAGCCACCGCTACAGCTGCTGCTACAACTGTCGTTGCTACAGCCCTAACCGTCAGCAACAGCAGGGTGCGGGGCGGGGGCAGCGGCGGGGGCATGTACGTGGGGGAAGGGTCCAGTGTGGCTTTAAAGGGGGCGAGATTCGAAGGGTGTTACACTGAGATGGAGGAGGGGGTGGTAGGGGGGCCTGGGGGGGCCATGGCTGTGTTTTCTGCAGTGAACGTGACAATTGAAGATTCGAGCTTCAAGGGGTGCACGGTGAGGGGTGCACGGTGAGGGGTTGAGCGTCAAGGTGTGTGCAGCAAGGGATTGGGCTTCAAGCACTGTAAAGGCGGGGGTGGCAGGGAGTATGGGGGGTGCATGGCTGCATTTTTAGCTGCGAATGTGACGATTGAAGATTCGTGCTTCACGGGATGCAAGGCGAGGGGTGCACGGTGAGGGGTTGTGTTTCACGGGGTGTAAGATTCGAGCTTCACTGGCCTCTCAGTCTTCCCCCACGCCCAGTCTTCCCCAACGCCCAGTCTCGGCCTCTCTCAGTCCCTTGCTCCCAGCGCCCTCCCTTGTTTTATGTATCCTCGCTCCCTCCCCCACACCCCAGGCCGTGTCAGGAGGGGGTTTGAGCGAGTTGCACTCGTCTACCACCATCGCCAGCACCACCTTCACAGCCTGTGCTGCCCCGCCCCGCCCCGCCTGATTCCATGCACTCGCCCTTCCCCCCGTTCCCCAGGCAGGGCCTGCCAGGAGGGGGTTTGAGACGACTTTTGAGGCGCCTCAAAAACCGCCCCGCCTGATTCCATGCACTCTCCCTTCCCCCCGTTCCCCAGGCAGTGCCTGCCAGGAGGGGGTTTGAGTGAGTTCCACTCGTCTACCACCATTACCAGCACCACCTTCACAGCCTGCACCGCCAGCCAAGGCTCTGGCTTCACTGTCTTCCCCGTGGCTCTCGCCCTTGCTTCAATCCCCCCCTCCTTGTTGTATGCCCCATCCCTTGTCGCATGCACCCTCCCCATCCCTCCCCCTCCGCGCCTCAGGCCGTTTCAGGAGGGGCTTTGAGCGAGTTCAGCTCGTCTACCACCATCGCCAGCACCACCTTCACTGCCTGCACCGCCAACCAAAGGACCACCGACCTCACTGTCTGTCCCCACAGGGGCCATCGCCTCTCTTGCTCTCGCCCTTGCTTCAATGCCCCCTCCCCTTGCGCCATGCTCCCGCCCTTCCCCCCAATCCCCACCCCAGGCCGTGTCAGGGGGGGGTTTGAGCGAGTTCAACTCATCTACCACCATCGCCAACACCACCTTCACAGCCTGCACCGCCAGCCAAGGCTCCGACTTCACAGTTTTCCCCCGCGGGGGGGGCGCCCTCTTCAATGCCTCCCTCTACATGCACATCCGCGACAGCCACTTCTCCCGCTGCTCCTCCTCCTCCACTGGGGGCGCCATCAGCGTGCAGATGGCGGTGGCGCCCCTTATAGTCACGGGGTCGGTGTTTGAGGAGAATGAGGCGCTCATACAAGGCGGGTGCCTCGAGCTCATCATGCTGCCAGGCATCTCCCAGGTGTGTTTTGGTGTGTGTGTTTTGGGGGGGGCGGTGGGTGGGCGTATGTGAGTTCATGTTTTGGGGACAGTCGCCCCCCTCACAGACACCGGCTCCGTGTTTGAGGAGAATGAGGCGCTCATACAAGGTGGGTGCATCGAGCTCATCATGCTGCCAGGCATCTCCCAGGTGTGTGTGTGTGTGTGCGGAGGAGGGGGGGGGGGGGGGGGGGGGAGGGTTTTGGGGGGGGAAAGGGGGGTATGCGTGCATGCGTGCGTTTCCGAGGTACGCTGTTTTGTTCTCTCGCTCTTGTGTTTTTGGAAACGACACACCCCTCTCTTCTCCCTGCTCTCTGCTCGCTGCTCTCTGCTCACTGCTCTCTGCTCGCCCCCCCACTCTCATTCCCCCCACACCAAATCATTGACTGCCATTTCACCAACAACGTGTGTAATGAGTCGACTCAAAAATCGACTCATTACACACGACTAAAAAATCGACTCATTACACACCAGATCATTGACTGCCGTTTCATCAACAACGTGGTGACCAACGTGCCGTCCTTTGCAGGGGGAGTGGTGTCCTACAGAGCGGCCATCACAGCGCACAGCAGCCACTTCCACGGCAACGTCGCCTCAACCACCCCGGCTGGCGCCAGCAGGCAGCGCACAACCCTGCTCCTCCTCTTCACCCATTCGCCTTCTCTCCAACTCCCCTTTCCCACGGATCCCCTTCTTCCCCACTCCCGCTCCCCCCAACCTCCCATTCCCCCCACTCCCATCCCCCCGAACACACCAGATCCTGGACTGCCGCTTCATCAACAACGTAGTAACCAACGTGCCGTCCTTTGCAGCGGGAGTGGTGGCGTACAGCGCAGCCATCACAGTGCACAACAGCCATTTTGAGGGCAACGTCGCCTCGCCCACCCCGGCTGGCGCGGGCAGTGCGTCGGCCACGTACCTCTCGCAGGGCGCAGCTGTGATGGTGTTTTCGTACATGGACCCCCTGATCCCCATCACCATCACGGACTCAGTCTTCAAGAACAACTCGGTGGGTGGGCCTGTGTTGAGCTAGTCCCCTAAACACGGTGGAGGCAGTGCGTTGGCCTCGAACCTGTCTATCGAAGGGCGCTATGCTGATGGTGTTTTCGTACATGGACCCGCTGATCCCCATCACCATCACGGACTCGGCCTTCAAGAACAACACGGTCAGATGAGATGATGTTGCACATGGCGCACCCCCTGAGAGCACATGCTGGCAGTGCCTCGGCCAGCCAGCCACGAACCTGTCGCAGGGCGCAGCTGTGATGTTCTCATATACATGGACCCGCTAATCCCTATTACCATCACGGACTCGGTCTGGGCCTCGCACCTCTGGCAAGGAGCAGCGCTGATGGTGTGTTCGCTCACGGACCCCTTGTTTCCCATTACCAGTACTCATGCAATCCCCACCCATCAGGCCGGCCAAGCGGGGGCAGTGTTTCTGGATTCCGGCAAAGCGACTATAACGAATTGCTCCTTTATTGAGAATGGCGACTACGAGAATGCCCAGATTGGTGGCGCCAGTGAGTTGCACTCAGTCCCCTTCTCACACCCCCTCTCATTCCCATGCGCACACACTCTCTCTTCCATACACACTCTCTCCCATTCACACTCTCTCTCCTCTCCAATAAGCTCTCTCTCCCATACACTCTCTCTCCCATACACTCTCTCTCCCATACACTCTCTCTCCCATAAACTCGCTCTCCCACACACTCTCTCCCATACACTCTCTCTCCCATACACTCTCTCTCCCATACACTCTCTCTCCCATAAACTCGCTCTCCCACACACTCTCTCCCATACACTCTCTCTCCCATACGCTCTCCCTCCCATGCATGCAATCTCCTTTATTGAGAATGGCATTAACGGGAATGCCAAGCTTGGCGGTGGCAGTGTGTGGGGTACTGCTGCAATTCATTAAGTCATTATAGCTGGTCAGGTTATTGCCGTTGCCACTGCTCGTATTCCCTACGTGAAAACACTCAGTAAAATAACACTCTCCATCCGCTTATGCGAAAGCTGAAATTAATGTCCGGGGCTACAATTTGCGGTCAAGAAATAGTTCTGGCTGTTACCCGGGGAGTTGTGCTGGTTCTGGAAGGTACAACTTGATTACGTTCGAGCAAACTGTTGCGGAATCTCTACTTGGAAAGATAATGTGGTTGGACGTGGATGCCCGAGATTGCGGAAATCCACTCGCAGAGACGACTTACGTTGCTGAAATCTATAAACACTACAGAAGCACGGCAACAGCAACACCAACCTGAGACTGACATCCTTGTTCCTGTAGTGTCAGTAGATTTCAGCTACGTAAGTTGTCTCTGCAAGTGGATTTCAGCAATCTTGGGCATCCACCTCCAACCACGGTATCTTTCCTGCCAGAGGCTTAGCAATAAATCGCTCCCATCCCCCTCCCTTCGGTATCCCAACTGCACATTCCACGGCAACAGGGCGGCCAGCTAAGCGGGAGCGCTGCACTTGATGTACTTCGTGTCCTACAACCCCCTCCCCCATCCACTTTCCCCCCACTCCCCATCCCCCTCATAGTGGTGTCCCGCACCATCACTGCCATCACCAACTGCACATTCCACGGCAACAGGGCGGCGGGCGAGGCGGGGGCCCTGCACTTCATGCCGTATAGCCCGCTGTCCATCGCCAACTGCACCTTCACCAACAACTCCGTGCTCGCCTCTCAAGGGGGCGCCATCAACATCTACCCCGTGAGTGGCTTCAGTCTTGCAAGTCCCCCTTCCCTGTGAGCCCCCTTCCCTGTGAGCCCCCTTCCCTGTGAGCCTCCTACCCTGTGAGCCCCCTGCCCTGTGAGCCCCCTTCCCTGTGAGTCTCTTGATTCCTGCCTTGACTTTTATTATATTCTCCTCCTAAGAATCTTCACGTTGTTTGGTGCTACACGTCCGTGGACTCCATGGGACCTTTTGCGTATGTGTTCAACGAACACTGGCTGGTCCGTTCCGCTGCACATTCACCAGCAATGGCGTGGAGTGGGCCTATGTCACCCACCCTCTCGTGTGACCATTCTTTCCATCCCTTTTGAGCCGACTCATAAGTCATTCAGCAGCAATGGCGTGGGCCTATGTCGCCCACGCACTCGTGTGACCATTATTTCCATCCCTGTCTCGCTTGCCCCCTTGCCCCCTTGCCCCCTTTGCCCCTTTTCGGCTTTCCTCTTCCCCCCGTCTGCGTTGAATGAATGCTGGCTGGTCCGTTGCACATTCAGCAGCAATGGACTGGAGCGGGCCTATGTCACCCACTCGTGTGACCATTCTTCCCATCCCCCTTGCCCCCTTTCCCTCTTTCCCCTTCCCCCCCCCTTTCCCCTTCTCCCCCTCTTTCCCCTTCTCCCTCTCTTTCCCCTTCTCCCCCCCCATCCCAGGGCGTATTCCCAGTGCACATATCTGGGAGCCGATTTGAGAACAACACGGCGGGCTTATCTCGGGGAGGCGCCATCTACAGCGAGAGCATGGAGCTGCACGTTGCTGATGTGGTCTTCCAGGGGAACCAAGCTGGGCTACAGGGAGGGGCTGTGACGGGTAAGGGCAGGGAGCACGGGGGTAGGGTAGGAGACACGGCTTGCGCTGTTGGGTTGTGCCATCTGCAGCCAGGGCACTGAGCTGCACATTAGTTTTGAGGCGCCTCAAAACTTGGGTTGTGCCATCTGCAGCCAGGGCACTGAGCTGCACATTGCTGATGTGGTGTTTGAGGGGAACTTTTGAGTCGACTCATAAGGGGAACCAAGCTGGGCTGCAGGGAGGGGCCGTGACGGGTAAGGGCAGGGAGCACGGGGGTAGGGTAGGAGACACGGCTTGTGACTTCTGAGTCGACTCAAAAGTCATCTCGGGGTTAGGGTAGGGGGCATGGCTTGTTCTGCTGGGACTCCGGGAGGTGCCATCTACAGCGAGGGCACTAAGCTGCACATTGCTGGTGCATTCTTTTAGGCGAATAAAGCTGGGCTGCAAGGAGGGGCCTTGGCGGGTAAAGGTGGTGCCAGCCAGCCAGGTAAGGCTGGTTACAGGTACCCTCAGGGACAGGGTTGGTGGGGTGGTTATATTTGCTACCTGTCCCATCTACAGCGAGGCCATGGGGGGGTACAAGGTACAACTACACATTACTGATGCAGTCTTTAAGGGGAACGAAACAGGCTTGCTTGCAGGGAGGGGCCGTGACAGGTAGGGGCAGATTTTTGAGGCGCCTCAAAAATAGACTCCTCACTCGTGACAGGTAGGGGCAGGGAACACACACAGCGGTGAGAGACATGGCTTGACCCCTCCCTTCTTCTCAATCCTCCAACCTTCAAGGCACTTCATATCCCCTCCATACCATTTCCACCCGCCCCCCCCGTTTCCCCCCCACATCCCTTTCCGCCCCACCCTCATTAGTCTATGGAGCTGAGTCCGAGGGCAAGCCTGCCACTGCGACCTTCACCAGATGCACCTTTCAGGGCAACCGGGCGGCGCTAGGGGGAGGCGCTATCTACTCGGGGCTGAGCGTGCGCATGCGCTTGACGGGCAGCCGCATAGAAGAGAACCACAGCCAGGGCACGGGAGGGGGTGTTCTGGTGCAGGAGTTCTCTAGAGTGACCATGGCGGACTGTGACTGCATGGGGAACAGGTGAGAGGAGATGTGGATGCACGCATGGGGAAGAGTTAGAGGGGGGTTGTGGGCATGCAAATGGCGGCTGCCGCATAGAAGAGAACTACAGCCAGGGCACGGGAGGGGGTGTTTTGGTGCAGGAGTTCACTTGGGTCACTATGGCGGACTGTGACTGTACAGGGAACAGTAGGTGAGGCAGATTGGGCTGCATGGGGGGGGGGTGGCATCTAGTCTCAAGATGGGGGGAGGGGCTATCTTCTCGGGGCTGAGCGTGCGCATGCGCTCTGTGGGCAGCCGCATAGAGGAGAACCACAGTGCCGGCACGGGAGGGGAAGTGCTTGTGCAAGAATTCTCGTTAGTCACCATGGCGGACTGTGACTGTATGAGGAACAAACAGGTGAGAGGGAGGAGCTCTCTGCTGTTGGTTGGGTTGGGGGGTGTTGGTGCCGTGCCCCCCTCGCAAGCCACCCTGGTGTTTCGTAGAGAGTTGAGAAAAGTCAAGCCATCCACCCTGCCTTCCCGCCCCTCCCCTTACCCCTGTCCTGTCTCCTCCCTACAGGGCATCCACGGGAGGAGGCTGCCTCTCCCTCCTCGCCAATGCCACGGCTCTCCTCTCCTCCTCTCGCCTCCTCCTCAACCGCGCCACCAGCGAGGGCGGCGCTGCCAGGGTCAGCGGAGCAGCCACGCTCTCCCTGCTCTCCTGCAACGTCTCCCAGAATGCTGCCCCCTGGGGGGGTGCCGTGTGGGTGGAAATGGGAGCGAGGATCCGAGCGGAAAACCAGACGGTGTTTTCTGGTAACCGCGCGGATTATATGGGGGGCGTGGTGTACGCGACTCACGTCTCGGATGTGACTATAAAGGGGAGTAGCTTTAGGGGGAACTACGCGCTGCATGGGGGGGCGATCGCGGCCGAAGCAGAATCAAATCTCACGGTGGTGGATTCGGCGTTTTCTGAGAATGCAGTGTCAGCGGTGCTGCTGCAGGGGCTGGCAGATGCGACCTTCACCAGATGTACCTTCACCCAGAACCGGAACCCCTCCGGGACAGGTGGTGCGCTGCGATTGGCCGACGGGGTCGTTGCCATTGTGCAGGCGAGTAGGTTCGAGGGGAATGTGGCTGAGCTGGGCGGAGGCCTGGCAGCAGATGGGCAGGCTCGGCTGGACCTAACCTCAGGTTCGGTATTCACGGGAAATGTGGCACAAGTAGGGGCGGGAGCCGCGTTTGTGGGAACCGCAATAGTGAATGTATCAGGGTGTGCTTTTAAGGGGAACAACGCGAGTGTGGCGGGAGGGGGGGTGGCAGTGCTAGAGCAAGCATCTGGGGGGGTGGGGGGGAGCGAGTTCAGTGGGAATTATGCCGTGGTGGGCGGAGCTGGAATGTACGTGCTGCGCTCGCCACTCAGAGCAGACGGGGCAGCTGGGGAGGCAGCGGGAGCAGCGGGTGCAGGCACTGCTGGAGCGAGTGGCTCAGGTGGAAACTCAGGTGGAAATTCAGGAGCAGGCCGCCAGCTGCAGCAGCAGCAGCAGCAGCAGCAGCAGCAGGGGCGGCTGGTGGTGCGGCAGCTGAGCTTTGAGGGCAACAGGGCGCTGTACCTGCAGGCGGCGGCCTTCTTTGAGGCTACCACGGACCGCCAGATGCGGTCGCGCTGTGAGGGGTGCGAGTTCAGAGGGGCGGGGGACACCCAGGGCACCATGCCCGCTGCCTTCTTCCTCAAGTGAGTCCACCTCTTGCGTGCATGTGCATGCACGTGTGCGTGTGTGTGTGCATGCGCGTGCGTGTGTGCATGCATGTGCATGTGTGAGTGCGTGTGCATGTGCGTGTGTGCGTGCGTGTGTGTCATAAACCCTGAGTAATGCTAGATGCGAGAGGAGAATCATCCGTGGTGCACCCCCTGGGCGAGGGAAGAGGGGCTGCATGTGTGCGTGCTGGATGCACTCAGCCAGAGCCCCACATGTTCATCTCTCCCTGCTTGCTTCCCCACTCCCCCCCCTCTCCCCCCTCTTCCCCCCTCTCCCTCCTCTCTCCCCTCTGCCCCCACCGCCCCCTCTGCCCCCTCTGCCCCCTCTGCCCCCTCTCCCCCCTCTCCCCTCTCCCCCCCCTCCCCCCTCTGCCCCCCCTCTCCCCTCTCCCCCCCCTCCCCCCTCTGCCCCCCTCCCCCACTGCCCCCCTCCCCCCTCTGCCCCCCTCCCCCCTCTGCCCCCCATCCCCCCTCTTCCCCTTCTCCCCCGTCTCTCCCCCGGCGCCAATCTCTCCCACGTGGCCAGGAGGGGAAGAGGATTCAACTTTCAAGTGTGGTGGACGCCAGGGGGGAGGCGTTCGTAGAGCAGGCAGCGCTGAGGGCGCTAATCGAGGGCCCACAGGTGCACGTGCTGGCCGCGCTCTCAACTGGAGCGCGGCTTAGGACGGCTCGTCCGTGGCTGCTGCTCCCTTGGCTGCTGCTCCACTGGCTGCTAGTCTCTTGCGCTGCATCCCTGCCTCAGCCTCTTCCTTCCCTCCTCTTCCCCCCCCCCCCCTCCTTCTTCCCCCCAGGTGGCCTGGGAGGGAGGAGGACTCGAGCATGGCGAACGCGAGGGGGGAGACCTTTGTGGTGCAGGCGGCGGTGGTGGGGGCGCACATAGAGGGGCTGCAGGTGCATGTGTTGGAGTCGCTGGATGCACTCAACCAGAGCCTCAAATGTACCCTTCCCCCTCTCCCTTCCTCCCCCAATCCCCTCGGTTTCTTTCAGGTGGCCGGGGCGAGATGAGGATTCAAGTGCAGTCAATGCGAGAGGGAAAACCTTTGTGGTGCAGGCGGCGGTGGGGGCGCACATAGAGCGCCTGCAGGTGCACGTGCTGGACACACTCAACCAGAGCCTCACATGTATACCCCTCCCTGGCTGCTTCCCTCCTATCCCCTCCTCTCTGCCAGGTGGCCCGGGAGGGAGGAGGATTCAAGCATGGCGAACGCGAGGGGGGAAACCTTTGTGGTGCAGGCAGCGGTGGGGTTGTACATAGAGGGCCTCCAGGTGCATGTGGTGAACAAACTCAACCAGAGCATGTCCTGGCCTGTATATCCTGGTCCCTCCCTACCCCCCTCCCCTTCCCTCTGCTTTCCTTCAGGTCGCTGCTGGGACGAGAAGAGGATTCAAATGTGGTGAACGCCAGGGGGGAAACATTCGTAGTCCAAGCAGCAGTCGGAGCGCACATAGAGGGCCTGCAGTTGCACGTGCTGCACCCCCTCAACCAGAGCCCAAAGCATATAACCCCTCCCTGCCTTCTTCCCCCCTCTCAGGTGGCCCGGGAGGGAGGAGGACTCGAGCATGGTGAACTCGAGAGGGGAGACCTTTGTGGTGCAGGCGGCGGTGGGGGCGCACATAGAGGGGCTGCAAGTGCACGTGCTGGACGCACTCAACCAGAGCGTGGCGCAGGACGGCACGTCCGTGGCTGCTGTGTCGCCGGATAGCAGGATCAGTGGGGACCTGAGGGGCACAGCTGTCAATGGGGTCATCACCATTCCGTCCATTGGGATTCAGGTGCGAGAGCAGTGTGCAGCATTGAAGAGAAGAGCTGTGTTTGAAGAGAAGATAAGGCCGGACACTGGAGTTTTGAGACGTCTTCACCACGCACGTCCATGGCTGCCTGCTGTGTTGCTTGCATGCTGTGAGGAAGGCAAGCAACACAGCAGCAGTACTCAAACATGCTCATGCTGTTCGCCTTTCTCTTCTCTTGCCCTTGCTTCCCTTTCCTTCCCCTTCCCTCACCTTCCTTACACTCCCATCCTCTCACATCCCCTTTCCCATCCTCTCCCATCCCCTTTCCCTATCTCAGGTTACACCAGAGGAGGCGCAATCCTTTGAAGTCACGGTCACCCTCTCATCCCCTGCCAACGCTTTTCCATCTGTCACCCGCGCGTTCAACATCTCCTTCTGCTCCTCTGGCCAGTTCTTGAATGCCACGTCCCTCACCTGCCAGGACTGCTTAGTCGGCCACTGGTGAGTTGAAGAGTGGGTGCTGTGCTGCCAAGTTTGCTGCCAAGCTGTGGTCCTCCTCCTCCTCCTCCTCCCCCTCCCCCCGCCTTCAACATCTCCTTCTACTCCTCGGGCCAGTTGTTGAATGCCACGTCCCTCACTCAAGGGGGGACAGGAATGTTCCCCTTGAATGCCAGGACTGCCTTGCGGGGCACTGGTGAGTTCCCTCCATGTTTTCACATGCAATGGTGGATGCACCACCACCACCTCCTCCTCCTCCTCCTCCTCCTCCTCCTCCTCCTCCTCCTCCTCCTCCTCCTCCTCCTCCTCCTCCTCCTCCTCCTCCTCCTCCTCCTCCTCCTCCTCCTCCTCCTCCTCCTCCTCCTCCTCCTCCTCCTCCTCCTCCTCCTCCTCCTCCTCCTCCTCTGCTTCCCCCTCCCTTCCCTCCCCCTTTCCATTTACCCCCCGCCCCCCCTTCTTCTTCCCACCCACCCATGCAGGTGCGAGGCTGGGTAACCCATGCAGGTGCGAGGCTGGGTAACCGATGCAGCCGTGTCCAGGCGGCCTCTTCTCCTTCTACCCGCGTGTAGCCAGCCCATCGGAGTGCATCCCGTGCGACGACAACAACCTCGAGTGTGCCAATGGCACGCTCACTGTGGGGCCTGCCAGAGCTGGCTGGACCTGCAGTCGCTCAACGCCTCTTCTCCCCCTCAATGCCTCTTTCTCATCTTGTTCTTCTCCTGTCGATGCCCCCCCTCCTGCCCCCTCCCCCCCCAATGCAGGTGCGAGGCTGGGCAGCCTATGCAGCCGTGTCCAGGCGGCCTCTTCTCCTTCTACCCGCGTGCAGCCAGCCCATCAGAGTGCATCCCGTGTGACGACGACAACCTCGAGTGCACCGACGGCACGCTCACCGTCGCCTACCAGAGCTGGCTGGACCTGCAGTCGCTAAACAACACCCCGACTACATATAGCTGTCTGGTGGCGGACGGGTGTGTGGGGTACGAGTACAACGAGCAGTGGGGGCAGACGACTAGTCAAGGCGTGATGATCCAGTGCCAGCAGGGCTACGACGAGAGCATCCCGTGAGTATTATTACTGACTGAAGCCTAGGGTGCATTTCGTGTGTAGAGGGAAGGACAGGCACGTGCGCAGGGTGTGTCGATGGTTAATTAATTCCTAGGGCTCCTGCAGTGCACTCAGTGCATCTTTCCTTCTACTACCCCACCTCTCTTTCTCCTCTACTCTACCCCCTCTTATTTTCTCTTCTTCCCTCTCAGCACGTGCGCAGGATGTGTCGACGGCTACTTCCTAGTGCTGCAGCAGTGCACTCAGTGCAGCAGCACTCTAACAAGGGTACGTACCTTAACTCTCAAGGCCCTTTCTTATTTGGGTAAACACACTCCCCCTCACTCTCATTTGATCCATGCAACTTTCTCAAAAGATTCTGCCCTCTGTATATGATTCTGCGTTCAAGAACCAAGGGCGCCATAAGTCGTACGTAATCTGCACAAAAGATTTCGAGCCAGCCGGCACGCGGCTCAGGAAAGGGGGGGGTTTGCAGACGATCAGCTAAACAACGTGGACCATCCCCTGGCCCGGACTAGAGGCCCCAAACCCCGTGGCCCCAATCAAGAGGCCACACAAGCCCCCCTGACGAGCCGAGCCGGGGATCCTGAGGACCCAGCTCGAGGCGAGCCGAGCTGGTTCGACAGGCGAGCCGGCTCGGCTCGACCCCAAACGAGCCGAGCCGAGCCAGGCGCCGCTCGTGCCCATTTCTACTTGGCCCTCGTATGCGCAGCGCAGGTGCTCCCTTTCCTCATCCTGCTCATCCTGGTCATCCTCATCATGGGCATGAACGTGCTGGCCTACACCTTCACTTCAGCAGCATGGACATGCTCGTCCATGGGGTGCCACGTGCTCCATGTGCTCGTCCATGGGGTGCCACGTGCTCCATGTGCTCGTCCATGGGGTGCCACGTGCTCCATGTGCACGTTCAGCAGCATTGACATCTTCCTCAACGAGCTCCAGCTGCTCCTCGTCAGCGCTATGCTCTCTCCCTTCCCAGTCCCTTCCCTCTCCACCCCTTCCCTCTCCCCCCCCCCCTCCCTCCCTCCCCTGCCCCACACACGCGCATGCAGGTGTTTCCCCTCCTGCTCATCCTGGTGATCCTGGCGTGGGTGGGGATGAACGTGCTGGCCGACACCTTCAGCAGCATGGACATCTTCCTCAACGAGCTGCAGCTGCTCGTTATGATCGCCTCCTTCAACCTCAACTACCCCGACCGCTGGGTGCAGACCCTAGTCAAGATCTACAACTTTGCGGTCTTCGATCCGGTACGTGGCAGTAATAATTGGTCCACTGTGGTGCTCTTGGGTTGTGTGTGTGCGGTGCTCGTCATGATCGCCTCCTTCAACCTCAACTACCCCGACCGCAGGATGCAGACGACTACTTCGCCGTGTTCGACCAGTAGGTGCTACGTGGTGAAATGCGGTGCTGTGCGGTGCTCATTGTGGTGATTTCTGGTGGTGTAGTTTGACGGGGTGTGTTTGGGAGCTGCAGCTGCTCGTCATGATCACCTCCTTCAACCTCAACCACCCCGACCGCTGGGTGCAGACCCTGGTCAAGATCTACAACTTTGCGGAGTTCGATCCGGTACGTAGCGGTAATAATTGGTCCAGTGCGGTCCTGTGCAGTGCTCTTGGGTTGTGTGTGCAATGCTTGTTATGACCGTATCCTTCAACCTCAACTGCCCGGACTGCTAGGTACAAAATCTTGTCAAGATCTACTACTTCGCCGTTTTTGACCCGGTGGGTGGTGGTAACATGTGATCCAGTGCGGTACAGTGCTCTTGGGTTGTGTGTGAGCGGTGCTCTTTATGATCGCCCCCTTCATCCTCAAACTAACCAGACCGCTTGGTGCAGACCCTCGCTGTCAATGTCTACAACTTTGCTGTTTTTTTACGTGGTAGGTGGCAGTAATGTGTGATGGGATGGGATGCATGCAGTGCGGTGCTGTGTGGTGCGGTGCTGTGTGTAAGGTGTAGCTGTGATTCCTCAATTACCCCGACCGCTGGGTGCTAATGCCCGTCAAGGTTTACAACTGCACGGCGTTCGATCCGGTCAGGTGCAGTGCGGTGCTACTGGGCGGCCCCACTGTGCATGTTCACCTATTCCTTCTCAGCCAAGGTCGTCCTCCAAGTGAATTCGCAAAATCAGCACTCACCTATTCTACCCCTTTTCCCCTCCCCTCTCCCCTCACCTCTCCCCCTTCTCTTTTACAAACCCCACCCCCCCCCCCCCACCCCCACCCAACAGGACGCCATCGGTCCACAGTGCATCTTCAACTACACCTTCACCTCCAAGTTCTACCTCCCCTTCCCCCTCCCCTCTTTCCCTGTCCTTCTTTCCCCCCCACCAACCCCACCAACAGGACGCCATAGGCCCGCAGTGCATCTTCAACTACACCTTCACCTCCAAGTTCTACCTGGGGATCTTCATCCCCGTTATAGGCCTCTTCGTTTACGCGCTGCTGTACGCGCGCCACCGCTGGTGGGGCGGCACCACATGGTCCCACATTTACTCGTGGCGCCAGGGGCCCAACCCCCAGGCGAGGCTGATGCGGTCCGTCACCAGGCGGAGGGCTTATAACGAGTATGAGAACTCGATCGTGCACGCGTCGCTCAAGTGGCTGGACCTGTGCTATGTGTCGGTGATGGTCCGCGTGCTGTCTGTTTATAAGGTGAGTCCTGCTACCATCAGTCAGTGTAAATGTTAACTAGCTGTCATGCTTCGCTGGTGGGGCGGCACCACGTGGTCGCACATCTACTCCTGGCGCCAGGGGCCCAACCCCCTGGCGAGGCTGATGCTGTCCGTGACGAGGCGGAGGCCTTATAACGAGTACGAGAACTCGATTGTACACGCGTCGCTCTAGTGGCTGGACCTGTGCTACGTGTCGGTGATGGTCCGAGTTCTCTTGGTGTACATGGTGAGCAGCAAGTGCCATTTGCCATGGTTGAAATGGTACGTGCGTCATCACAACGTGTCGGTGATGGTCCGAGTGCTTTCTGTGTACAAGGTGAGTCCTGCTACCACCATGGCTCACACCTTCAGTCAGTGCTGAGTGCCTGGCTGATGAGCTAGCATTGGTCTGTTGAGCGCTGCTTTTGAGGCGCCTAAAATATGTTGAGTGCGGCACTCATCAGATCGTCAGCCAGCCAGGGAGGCTGATGAGTCAACAGCCAGGGAGGCTGATGAGTCAACAGCCAGGGAGGCTGATGAGTCAACAGCCAGGGAGGCTGATGAGTCAACAGCCAGGGAGGCTGATGAGTCAACAGCCAGGGAGGCTGATGAGTCAACAGCCAGGGAGGCTGATGAGTCAACATTGATCTGTTGAGTGCTGCTCTGCCTGCCTGGACCTATGCTGCATGTCCGTGATGCTCCGCGTGCTCTTGGTGTACAAGGTGAGCTGCAAGAATGCGCCATTTTCCATGGTTGAAGTGCTACATGTGCTGCGTGTGTTACCACAGCCTGTCAGTGATGCTCCACGTGCTCTCAGCGCATAAGGTGAGTCCGACTACCGGCTATGGCACTTGTGCGTGCAGTCGGTGTTGAAGGTAATCACGGCTGGAGTGGGGTCACATTAATGTTAGCCGTTATGGTCCGTGGACATGTGCTGTTGGTCCATGTGGACATGTGCTGTTGGTCCATGTGGACATGTGCTGTTGGTCCATGTGGACATGTGCTGTTGGTCCATGTGGACATGTGCTGTTGGTCCATGTGGACATGTGCTGTTGGTCCATGTGGACATGTGCTGTTGGTCCATGTGGACATGTGCTGTTGGTCCATGTGGACATGTGCTGTTGGTCCATGTGGACATGTGCTGTTGGTCCATGTGGACATGTGCTGTTGGTCCATGTGGACATGTGCTGTTGGTCCATGTGGACATGTGCTGTTGGTCCATGTGGACATGTGCTGTTGGTCATGTGGACATGTGCTGTTGGTCCATGTGGACATGTGCTGTTGGTCCATGTGGACATGTGCTGTTGGTCCATGTGGACATGTGCTGTTGGTCCATGTGGACATGTGCTGTTGGTCCATGTGGACATGTGCTGTTGGTCCATGTGGACATGTGCTGTTGGTCCATGTGGACATGTGCTGTTGGTCCATGTGGACATGTGCTGTTGGTCCATGTGGACATGTGCTGTTGGTCCATGTGGACATGTGCTGTTGGTCCATGTGGACATGTGCTGTTGGTCCATGTGGACATGTGCTGTTGGTCATGTGGACATGTGCTGTTGGTCATGTGGACATGTGCTGTTGGTCCATGTGGACATGTGCTGGTTGGGGTGGGTCCATGTGGACATGTGCTGTTGGTCCATGTGGACATGTGCTGTTGGTCCATGTGGACATGTGCTGTTGGTCCATGTGGACATGTGCTGTTGGTCATGTGGACATGTGCTGTTGGTCATGTGGACATGTGCTGTTGGTCCATGTGGACATGTGCTGTTGGTCCATGTGGACATGTGCTGTTGGTCATGTGGACATGTGCTGTTGGTCATGTGGACATGTGCTGTTGGTCCATGTGGACATGTGCTGTTGGTCCATGTGGACATGTGCTGTTGGTCCATGTGGACATGTGCTGTTGGTCCATGTGGACATGTGCTGTTGGTCATGTGGACATGTGCTGTTGGTCATGTGGACATGTGCTGTTGGTCCATGTGGACATGTGCTGTTGGTCATGTGCCTGGACATGTGCTGTTGGTCATGTGGACATGTGCTGTTGTCATGTAGACATGTGCTGTTGGTCATGTGGACATGTGCTGTTGGTCATGTGGACATGTGCTGTTGGTCCATGTGGACATGTGCTGTTGGTCCATGTGGACATGTGCTGTTGGTCCATGTGGACATGTGCTGTTGGTCCATGTGGACATGTGCTGTTGGTCCATGTGGACATGTGCTGTTGGTCATGTGGACATGTGCTGTTGGTCCATGTGGACATGTGCTGTTGGTCATGTGGACATGTGCTGTTGGTCCATGTGGACATGTGCTGTTGGTCCATGTGGACATGTGCTGTTGGTCATGTGGACATGTGCTGTTGGTCCATGTGGACATGTGCTGTTGGTCCATGTGGACATGTGCTGTTGGTCCATGTGGACATGTGCTGTTGGTCCATGTGGACATGTGCTGTTGGTCATGTGGACATGTGCTGTTGGTCCATGTGGACATGTGCTGTTGGTCCATGTGGACATGTGCTGTTGGTCATGTGGACATGTGCTGTTGGTCATGTAGACATGTGCTGTTGGTCATGTGGACATGTGCTGTTGGTCATGTGGACATGTGCTGTTGGTCCATGTGGACATGTGCTGTTGGTCCATGTGGACATGTGCTGTTGGTCCATGTGGACATGTGCTGTTGGTCCATGTGGACATGTGCTGTTGGTCATGTGGACATGTGCTGTTGGTCCATGTGGACATGTGCTGTTGGTCATGTGGACATGTGCTGTTGGTCCATGTGGACATGTGCTGTTGGTCATGTGGACATGTGCTGTTGGTCATGTGGACATGTGCTGTTGGTCCATGTGGACATGTGCTGTTTGGTCCATGTGGACATGTGCTGTTGGTCCATGTGGACATGTGCTGTTGGTCCATGTGGACATGTGCTGTTGGTCCATGTGGACATGTGCTGTTGGTCCATGTGGACATGTGCTGTTGGTCCATGTGGACATGTGCTGTTGGTCCATGTGGACATGTGCTGTTGGTCCATGTGGACATGTGCTGTTGGTCATGTGGACATGTGCTGTTGGTCATGTAGACATGTGCTGTTGGTCATGTGGACATGTGCTGTTGGTCATGTGGACATGTGCTGTTGGTCCATGTGGACATGTGCTGTTGGTCCATGTGGACATGTGCTGTTGGTCCATGTGGACATGTGCTGTTGGTCCATGTGGACATGTGCTGTTGGTCATGTGGACATGTGCTGTTGGTCCATGTGGACATGTGCTGTTGGTCCATGTGGACATGTGCTGTTGGTCATGTGGACATGTGCTGTTGGTCATGTGGACATGTGCTGTTGGTCCATGTGGACATGTGCTGTTGGTCCATGTGGACATGTGCTGTTGGTCCATGTGGACATGTGCTGTTGGTCCATGTGGACATGTGCTGTTGGTCATGTGGACATGTGCTGTTGGTCCATGTGGACATGTGCTGTTGGTCCATGTGGACATGTGCTGTTGGTCATGTGGACATGTGCTGTTGGTCCATGTGGACATGTGCTGTTGGTCCATGTGGACATGTGCTGCTGTTGGTCCATGTGGACATGTGCTGTTGGTCATGTGGACATGTGCTGTTGGTCATGTGGACATGTGCTGTTGGTCCATGTGGACATGTGCTGTTGGTCCATGTGGACATGTGCTGTTGGTCCATGTGGACATGTGCTGTTGGTCCATGTGGACATGTGCTGTTGGTCATGTGGACATGTGCTGTTGGTCCATGTGGACATGTGCTGTTGGTCCATGTGGACATGTGCTGTTGGTCATGTGGACATGTGCTGTTGGTCCATGTGGACATGTGCTGTTGGTCATGTGGACATGTGCTGTTGGTCATGTAGACATGTGCTGTTGGTCATGTGGACATGTGCTGTTGGTCATGTGGACATGTGCTGTTGGTCCATGTGGACATGTGCTGTTGGTCCATGTGGACATGTGCTGTTGGTCCATGTGGACATGTGCTGTTGGTCCATGTGGACATGTGCTGTTGGTCATGTGGACATGTGCTGTTGGTCCATGTGGACATGTGCTGTTGGTCATGTGGACATGTGCTGTTGGTCCATGTGGACATGTGCTGTTGGTCATGTGGACATGTGCTGTTGGTCATGTGGACATGTGCTGTTGGTCCATGTGGACATGTGCTGTTGGTCCATGTGGACATGTGCTGTTGGTCCATGTGGACATGTGCTGTTGGTCCATGTGGACATGTGCTGTTGGTCATGTGGACATGTGCTGTTGGTCCATGTGGACATGTGCTGTTGGTCCATGTGGACATGTGCTGTTGGTCCATGTGGACATGTGCTGTTGGTCCATGTGGACATGTGCTGTTGGTCCATGTGGACATGTGCTGTTGGTCCATGTGGACATGTGCTGTTGGTCCATGTGGACATGTGCTGTTGGTCCATGTGGACATGTGCTGTTGGTCCATGTGGACATGTGCTGTTGGTCATGTGGACATGTGCTGTTGGTCATGTAGACATGTGCTGTTGGTCATGTGGACATGTGCTGTTGGTCATGTGGACATTGCTGTTGGTCATGTGACATGTGCTGTTGGTCCATGTGGACATGTGCTGTTGGTCCATGTGGACATGTGCTGTTGGTCCATGTGGACATGTGCTGTTGGTCATGTGGACATGTGCTGTTGGTCCATGTGGACATGTGCTGTTGGTCCATGTGGACATGTGCTGTTGGTCATGTGGACATGTGCTGTTGGTCATGTGGACATGTGCTGTTGGTCCATGTGGACATGTGCTGTTGGTCCATGTGGACATGTGCTGTTGGTCCATGTGGACATGTGCTGTTGGTCCATGTGGACATGTGCTGTTGGTCCATGTGGACATGTGCTGTTGGTCCATGTGGACATGTGCTGTTGGTCCATGTGGACATGTGCTGTTGGTCCATGTGGACATGTGCTGTTGGTCCATGTGGGACATGTGCTGTTGGTTCCATGTGGACAATGTGTCTGTTGTGGTCCATGTGGACATGTGCTGTTGGTCCATGTGGACATGTGCTGTTGGTCCATGTGGACATGTGCTGTTGGTCCATGTGGACATGTGCTGTTGGTCCATGTGGACATGTGCTGTTGGTCCATGTGGACATGTGCTGTTGGTCCATGTGGACATGTGCTGTTGGTCCATGTGGACATGTGCTGTTGGTCCATGTGGACATGTGCTGTTGGTCCATGTGGACATGTGCTGTTGGTCCATGTGGACATGTGCTGTGTTGGTCCCATGTGGACATGTGCTGTTGGTCCATGTGGACATGTGCTGGTTGGTCCATGTGGACATGTGCTGTTGGTCCATGTGGACATGTGCTGTTGGTCCATGTGGACATGTGCTGTTGGTCCATGTGGACATGTGCTGTTGGTCCATGTGGACATGTGCTGTTGGTCCATGTGGACATGTGCTGTTTGGTCCATGTGGACATGTGCTGTTGGTCCATGTGGACATGTGCTGTTGGTCCATGTGGACATGTGCTGTTGGTCCATGTGGACATGTGCTGTTGGTCCATGTGGACATGTGCTGTTGGTCATGTGGACATGTGCTGTTGGTCATGTGGACATGTGCTGTTGGTCCATGTGGACATGTGCTGTTGGTCCATGTGGACATGTGCTGTTGGTCATGTGGACATGTGCTGTTGGTCATGTGGACATGTGCTGTTGGTCATGTGGACATGTGCTGTTGGTCATGTGGACATGTGCTGTTGGTCATGTGGACATGTGCTGTTGGTCCATGTTGATGCTTCTGAGTCGACTCTAATGCACATTCATTGTCCATGTGGTCAAGTAAGGTCCCATGTGTTTCCTTACTCTCCCCCCCCCCCCCCCCCCACTTCCCCCCTCCTCCCCCCCTCTCCCCCCCCACCCTCCTCTCTCCATTCAATGACGATAGGAGGCGAGGTGCTTATAGTCCGTCCTCCCCTCTCTCCTCCCCCTCCCCCCGCCCTCAACACCCGTGCCTCCAGTCAATGACCATAGGAGGCGAGGTGCTGATGGCAGCGGCGCCGCAGATCGCATGGTTCTCGCCCACCCACGTGGGCATGTTCTCTGTCTCTCTCATCGTCTCCCTCGTCTACCTGCTGGGTTTGCCCCTCTTCTTCGCCTACGTGCTGCTGGACGCCCATGCCTCCGACGCCCTCTCTTCTAACCTATTCAAGCAACGATTCGGCTGGCTCACCGAGCGATACAAAAGGAACTTCTGGTGGTGAGTCAGTGGACGCTCGCACTTATACTCTCCCTTATTATCTCCCTCGTAGTCTTCTCGGCGCCCATGCCTCCGACGCCCTCTCTTCTAACCTATTCGAGCAGCGAGTCGGTCGGGTGGCTCACAGACTGATAAACCCGCCGAAATAATTCTCTTTTGAGGCGCCTCAAATATTGTTTGATACACCCGTCGTTTTTTTCTCGGCTGCTCCTGACTGTGTGTCTCTCCCATTGGTCTCACCTCTCGTCCCACGGTTCCCCCCCTCTCTCCTCACCCGTGCAGGTGGCATCTGGCCACCATGCTGCTCAGGCTGCTCCTGACTGTGTGTCTCTCTCATTGGTCTCACCTCTCGTCCCACGGTCCCCCCCCTCTCTCCTCACCCGTGCAGGTGGCATCTAGTCACCATGCTGCTTAGGCTGCTCCACGCGCTCATCCTCGTTTTCCTGCAGCAAGACACGCGCGCCCAGGTGAGAGCCACATATTTGTTGAGGCGCCTCTCAACACCTCAACACCTCAACACCTCTACACCTCAACACCTCAACACCTCAACACCTCTACACCTCGAAATTGGGGCGTCCTCAAGTTGCGCAGACACTTGCTCCACGTGCTCATCCTCGTGTTCCTGCAGCAAGACACTCGCGCCCAGGTAAAACCCACTTTCGTGCTCCTCCAATCAGCTTTCCCCTTGTTCCTCCCCCCTTCCCTCATTCATTCCTCCCCAAACCCCCCATCCTCGCCCCCCCCCCTTGGCCCCCCCTTGGCCCACCCCTTGGCCCCCCCCTTGGCCCCCCTGGCCCTCCTTTTCAGCTCGTGATACTCCTGCTCATCCAGGCCCTGAGGATCGGCTCGCAGTACAAGTCGCCGCCCCTCCCGTCACTCTCTCTCTCGACTACCTACAAGCCTTCCTCTCCCTGGGCCACTTCTTCTTCACTCTCGGCCTCCTCTGCTTCAACTACATCAAGCTCTCCGCCTTCTCCCAGGCCGTCTTCACCCTCTCCTCCCTCCTCACCTTCCCTCCTCATACTCGCTCCCTCCTTCCCCTCCTTCCTCTCCTTCCCTCCTTCCTCTCCTCCCTGCCCCCCTTCCCCCCAGTCAGATCGTGATTATCCCTGCCCCCCTTCCCCCTTCCCTTATCCTGCTGATTCTAGCGCTGAGGATCGGTTCGCAGTACAAGTCCTCCCCGCTCGCCTCGCTCACCCTCGACTACCTGCAGGCCTTCCTCTCCTTGGGCCACTTTTTCACTCGCGGCCTCCTCTGCTTCAACTACATCAAGCTCTCCGCCTTCTCCCAGGCTGTCTTCGCCCTCTCCTCCCTCCTCACCTTCCCTCCTCATAATCCCTCCCTCTTTCCCCTCCTTCCCCTCCTTCCCCTCCTTCCCCTCCTCCTTGCCCCCATCGCCCCCCCACCAGATCGTGATAATCCTGCTCATCCAGGCCCTGAGGATCGGCTCGCAGTACAAGTCCTCGCCCCTCGCCTCACTCTCCCTAGACTACCTACAAGCCTTCCTCTCCTTGGGCCACTTCTTCTTCACTCTCGGCCTCCTCTGCTTCAACTACATCAAGCTCTCCGCCTTCTCCCAGGCCGTCTTCGCCCTCTCCTCCCTCCTCATCCTCGCACCCGCCGCCTGCGCACTCACCTTCGAAGCAATCAACAAGGACCTAGAGATAGTCAACCGGCAGCTGCTGTATCGGGTCTGGAAGGTCGAGCGGCGGAGAAACAAGGCTAAGTACGACAAAATGGACCCGTACGATCTAGTCCCGCCGCAGGAGATCTCAGCCTGGTTCCGCCCGCATGTCATATTCCCGCTGCTCTTAACTAAGCGCGCGCACGAGCGGAAACTTTTGCTTAAGGTCCGGGATCGCGTACAGACGTGTAAGTTAGCGGGTATGGCGCCAGTTGACTGGGTGAGCCACCTTAACAAGCCGCAGCTGTACGCGGTATTGAGTCAGGCTTTATTGGGCGCGAGCGCGGGGCATATCACCATAGCGAGGGTGCCTAGAAGGGGGAGGTTTTGCAGGGAGCATGGGCGGTGGCATGCGGCAGGGGAGGAGTGCTGCTTCCTGGGGACAGCAGGGACGGTGGACGGGGAGGGGGAGGGAACGGGAGTAGGGGCAGGAGGGGCAGGAGCAGGATCAGGAGGAGCAGCAGGAGGAGCAGGAGGAGCAGGAGGAGCAGGAGGAGCAGGAGGAGCAGGAGGAGCAGGAGCAGCAGTGTCGGCACAGTTGCTGTCAGCAGCGCCTTGGACGCCGAGGATAGAGAGGCATGTGAGCTGGGCATCTCATGGCAGCAGCAGGGACTTTGACGGCAGCGCCTCTGGCCGCAACGCCACCGCTGCCACCGCCGCTGCTGCTGCTGCTGCTGCGAATGCTGCTGGCGGAGGTGGTGCTTCGGCCGGCCCTGGCATGTCCCCCCTCGCTGGAGCGTCCCCCCTCGCTGGCATGTCTCCCCTCGCTGGCATGTCCCCCATACATGGGCTGTCGCCCTTTGCAGGAGCAGCAAACGCTGGTGCCTCACCCATCCATGGGATGTCGCCGCTGTCAGGCGCGCATGGTGCCTCGCCCCTACAGGGCGCATCACCACTAGGGGGAGCGTCCCCCATACATGGTATGTCGCCCCTAGGGGGAGCGTCCCCCATACATGGCATGTCGCCCCTTGCCCCAGCAGCAGCAGGTGGGCCAGGGGCGTCCCCCCTCTCCCGAGTCTCAGGCTCGGGAACCGACATGGGGGGAGGACAGGAATCCCCCCTGCCATTGCCGTTGCAACGAGAGGGAGGAGGAGGAGGGGGGAGACGGATAGCGGATGGGGGGATTGGGCAGGCGAGGACAGATAGCATCAAGGTGCAGGGGCTGGTATCGTGGGAGCAGCAAGGGGCGGGAGGAGCAGGAGGGAAGTTCGAGAGGCTCGGGGGTGGTGGAGGGGCAGAGGGAGGAATAGAAGAACAAGGAGCAGGGGAGGGAGGGGGGGAGGTGCAAGGAGAGGCAAGAGTGGGAGGAACAGGAGAGGGAGGAGGAGAAGGAGGAGAGGGAGGAGGAGGAGGAGGAGGAGAAGGAGAGGAGGGAGAGGGAGTGGAGTACGTGGAGGCGAAGATGAATATGGCGGAGCTCACTCTGACCTTCCAGCGCCACCTGTCGGTGCTGGTGCGGGCCGAGAAGAAGAAGCGTGAGGACTCGCTGCGGCGCCTGCTGCAATCCGAGTGCATCCCGGACATACTCAGCTGGTTGACCAGCTCTGACTGGTGCGTGTGGGAAAGATGGAGGCACCCGCCTGTCTCACTCTCACTCTCACTCTCACTCTCACTCGCACTCGCATTCTCACTCGCACTCACTCTCACTCGCGCTCGCACTCTCACTCTCATTCTCATTCTAGATATAAGCCTTGGTGAAAGGTGCTTACCAGGTGTTGCCTCACACCTTCCAGAGGCGCACAGCAGGATCAGATGCTCCTGAGACCTGAGAGGGACTTGGTGGTGCCAGTGCCTTTGTGCACCTCATCAACACACCCCTCACACCTCTCCCCCCAACTCTCTCCTTCAACCTCTCACCTTCCAGCGGCGCAAAGCACGATCAGATGCTCCTGAGACCTGAGGGACTCGGTGCTGGGGGCAACGTCAAACCTTGACGCGCCTCAGAACCCCCTCTCTTCCCCCTCCCAAATCCCCCACTTCCCCCCTCACACTCTTACAGCGCACACGACGATCGGATGCTCCTGAGACCTGAGGGACTTGGTGCTGGGGGCAACGTCAAACCTTGAGGCGCCTCAGAACACCCTCCCTTCCCCCTCCCCACTCCCCCCCTTCCCCCCCTTCCCCCCCTCCCCCCTGCACACCCTTACAGCGCACAGGACGATCAGATGCTGCTGAGGGAGCTGGTGCTGGCAGTGCACGTGGCGGGGCTAGAAGAGACCGGAGGGCATTTTTTTAGGCGGCTCAAAAACTGGTTCCATGAGATGTGGTGCTTCCATGAGATGTGGTGCTTCCATGAGATGTGGTGCTTCCATGAGATGTGGTGCTTCCATGAGATGTGGTGCTTCCATGAGATGTGGTGCTTCCATGAGATGTGGTGCTTCCAGCGCAACAGCATGCTTACCCCCCTTTCCCCTCCTCCCCCCCACTCCCCTCTCTCTCTTTCTCTCCCCCTCTGCAGTGCACAGGACGATCAGATGCTGCTGAGGGAGCTAGTGCTGGCAGTGCGCGTGGCGGCGCTAGAAGAGACCAGGAGGCTGAACTGGTTCTGAGGGGTAAACTTTTGAGGCGCCTCAAAAGGCAGTGCGCGTGGCGGCGCTAGAAGAGACCGGGAGGCTGAACTGGTTCTGAGGGGTAAAATGCTTCTACCGCAACTGATTCTCTTATCCCCCCCCCCCCTCCCCTCTCCCCCCCACTCTTACAGTGCACAGGACGATCAGATGCTGCTGAGGGAGCTGGAGCTGGCAGTGCACGTGGCGGCGCTAGAAGAGACCGGAGGGCATTTTTTTAGGCGACTCAAAAACTGGTTCCATTAGATGTGGTGCTTCCAGCGCAACAGCATGCTTAACCCCCTTTCCCCTCCTCCCCCCACTCCCCTCTCTCTCTTTCTCTCCCCCTCTGCAGTGCACAGGACGATCAGATGCTGCTGAGGGAGCTAGTGCTGGCAGTGCGTGTGGCGGCGCTAGAAGAGACCGGAGGGCTGGACTGGTTCCGAGGCGTGAGGTGCTTCTACCGCAACAGATTTGCTTTCATCAATGTAGGAAGGAGCAAGAGGAAGGGCGGGGGTGGGGAAAAGAGCAAGGCTGGGGGGAAGGGGGATGGAGGGAGCAGTCAGGATGGTACTGGTACCTGTAGGGGCCTTCTTGGGTGGTTTCAGGGAAGCGAGAAGGCAACTGCTGCAGGTTCTGCCTCTGCTTCTCCTGCTGCTGATACTGCAGCTTCTTCCGCTGCTGGCTGTATGCCGTCAGGCGGAAGTGGTGATGTGAATGGTACCCATGGCCTCGGAAACATGTTATGAGGTCGATCTACTGGTGAATCAGTGTATAACTTGGTAGGTACACCTGCCTCATGATGCATAATAAACGTTATTTATTGTACTTGCTGCTTCTTTCTCTCCCCTTTGATGCGAGGATTAGACATATGGTATGCACCATATATCAAAATGAGTAGTGAGTAGAATAGAAGGATACAGGGGTATACAGACTAGGGGTTGTACCCTCTAAGGCACAGTCCAATATAGTTTACAGTAACTATATAAGTTACATTTGACACACCCCCTAGACTATATAGGGGCAGTGCCTAACAGGAGAAGAAGCAGCTCAGGGCGGCACTACTAGTCCAGCCTCTGAGGCAAGGGTCTAAAGACCAGTCAAAGGAATACAGGCACGGCAAGAGCAAGACCAAGGCGGCACTACTAGTCCAGCCACTGGGAGAGGCCACAAGGCCAGTCAGGATAATATATATATAAGGTTTGTACACAATCAAGGCCCTAGAAAGTGAGAAGCTACAGGAACAAGACCAAGCTGTACACAGTGCCGCTGATGATCTTTAGGCGCAAGCGCCTTCGTAAAGATATCAGCTGTGTTGGCACCGGAGGCCAAGTGTACTACGCGGGCTTAGCGACGCTGCTGCAGCTCACGCAGGAGGAAGTACCGCAGCTGGATGTGCTTCGCTCTGCCCTCGAGTCGCGGCTCCTGACACAGGAGGATCATGGCCCAGTTGTCAGCGTACAGGACTGGGGCAGAGCTAGGCCACTCACCTAAATCAGTGAGCAAGAAGGTCAGCCAACGGAGCTCCTGTGCCGCCATGGCACCGGCGTAGATCTCGGCCTCACAGCTGGACTGGGCAACAGACGAGGAGCGAGTAGCTCTCCACGAGACAGCACCTGAACCAAGGCTAAAGCAGTAGCCCTGTGAGGACGTAAGAGTCTCAGCGTCGACTGCCCACGAAGCGTCTGTGTGCCCAATAAGGACCATTGGCCTACGCCCTCCAAGCACTAACCCCATGCCCGATGTACTTGCAAGATAACGCAAAACCCTCTTAGCGGCAGACCAGTGCAGAGGTCGGTGTCTGCCTGTGGCCACAAAGCGAGCCAGGATGCTGAGAGGGTATGCGAGATCTGGGCGAGTGCAAGTCATCCGATACATGAGGCAACCCACCAGCTCGGCATAAGGGCCACTGGGCTCTACCAACTCCGCAGGAACTGGAGCTGAGAGCCTGTGGTCTACAGACAGAGGGGTGGGATGTGCAGAGGAGAACTGAAGACCGAACCTCTAAAGGACCTGGCGCACCAAGTGTGACTGAGTCAGGGTGATGGTGCGCGCTGCTCTGTCCCTGGAGATCTGCAAGCCAAGGTAATGACGCAGTTCTCCAAGGTCAGTGCAAGTGCGTCTCTTCAACAGCTCTGTCTTCACGGAGGCCAGTGCGTCCCTGTCTGCAATGGCGAAGACCAGGTCGTCTACGTAAACAAGGATGTAGAACGGAGTCTGGCCAACACGAACAAAGAGCGAGGGGTCTGCGGAGGACGGAAAGAACTACAGGTCAGCAAGCGTAGCACGCAGCGTCTCGTGCCACTCACGAGGAGCCTGTCGCAGGCCGTAGACGGGGCGCCGCAGGAGCCACTGGGTCCCAGGAGGGAAGGTACCAGTGAAACCCTGAGGGCGGCGCAGGTAGACCTGCTCGTGTAGACTGCCCTGAAGAAACGCAGTAGAGAAGTCGAGGGATTGAAGCTCGTAGTCACGCTGAGCTGCTACGTGTAGTAGCACCCGAAGGGTAGTCGTCTTCGGGTTCGGAGCAACGGTCTGGAAGAAGTCCACCCCCTCACGCTGACTGAAACCTCTAGCCATGTAGCGCGCCTTAAACACAGCCGGCTCTCCAGGAGGGCACTTCACCTTGAAGAGCCAGCGGCCATCGACTATGTTCACCCCAGGTGGGGGAACTGCGTCGGCGTAGGTGCCCGTGGATCTCCAAGATGCCATCTCCGCGTCCATGGCAGCTATGCACTGAGAGGCCCAGGGTCCCGAGTTCGCCTCAGCGTAAGTGCGAGTGGTCGGGATGTTGAAAGCGTCGAGGTCACCCTCAGGGACTAGAAGCATGGAACAGAGATGGGGAGCAGCCTCGGACAGGAAAGCAAGCTCGTACTGACGGTCCTCCAGGACGTTACTGCCGAGGGAAGGAGCACCCCCGACAGACGGAGGACAGGCAGGGCTAGAGACCAGAGCGGTGGCGTAGTCAAGGCGGCGGGTAGGCAAAGTCAGCGACCGCAGCGACAAGAGCGTCAAGACACGAAACCGGAACAGACGGGTCGGTAACGAGAGAGGCAAGGACCCGAGGAACAAGAGGACGAGCGGCACGCAGGTAGTTAGACAGAGGGGAGGGCGTAACAACAAGGGAGGACGGAGGAGGCGACGGGAGAAGGGGAGGACGAGACGCGTGGGAACGAAGCAACATAGGGTGAGAGCACGAGACAGGGGAAACAGGTCGAGCACGGGAGGGACAGCGAGACCAGACGTGAGACGGAGGCGTCGGGAGAGGAGACAGAGGAGGGGACACAAGAGGGGAACGAGGGGGGAAACGAGTCGGAGACGAGTCCGGAGGAGGGAACACAGGGCCGTAGACAAGAGGAGGAGGAGGCACAGACGCGGGGTCAGGGGATGGAAGGCCGAGCAGGCGAAGAGCTGACACCGGCGGGGACTGCTGCTGTGGCGGTGCGACACCGACACCGAGACCGCAAGCTGCCGGACGGCTACCTCCAGAACACTCCACTCCAGCACCCCCAGAAGGAACACCCCCAGAGCTCATAACCCTTCGAGCACCGGTACCACCCCCAGGCCCGCCGGGACAAGCCAAGACAGGAGTCCCAGGACTAGTACCCACCCCAACTCCAGCACCCCCAGAGGCAACGAGCTGCTGCGGCGACGGCTGCGGCGGCAGTGAAGACGGCCGCGACAGGGGTGGCGACGGCGGCTGTGGAGGCGGTGGAGGAGGAGACACCTGAGGAGGGGCAGGCGGCGAGGACTGCACCGCAGGACCACCAGGGTCAGCAGACTCCTCAACCGGGACAACCGACGTAAGGGGGGTGACGTGGAACACACCAGAGGGGGCAGGAAAGGGAGGGGGAGGGGGAGGGGCAGGGACTACCGGGGAAGGGGTTACCAGGAACAAGGGGGGGGTAACCGGGGGACCTCGGTGGGGGAAGCGGCGGTAGAAGGAGACGGACTCATCAAAGGTGACGTCGCGGGAGTGAAAGAACCGGTGAGACGGCGGGTGGTAGAAGTGCCAGTCAGACGAGTCAAGGGGGAAACTGAGGAAGACACAGGGAAGGGTGCAGGCATTGAGCTTGTCCGTGCCAGAGGTACGAACGTGAGCAAGGCAGCCCCACACGTGAAACACAGACGCGTCACCAGGTGACCGAGACCAAAGAAGGGTCGGCGAAACCTGCGGCTGCTGGGGGTGCAGCCAGAGGTTAAGCTGGTGAGCGGCGTAGCGAACAGCGAACGGCCACAGAAAATGGGGGGCACCGGCATGGATCATGGAGGTGCGAGCCACCTCCATGACCAAACCGATGCGTCGCTCAGCGACCCCATTCTGCTGCGGGGAGTCCGGCAAGGTGAACGTCTGGGTGATGCCCTCCGCACAACAGAAATGACCAAGGACACCAGAGGCAAACTCGTCACAACGATCGGAGTGGAGACGCAAGACAGGGAGACCGCGGTGGACATGCCCAGAAACAAGCCACGGGATGAGAACGTCAGGCACGTCGGCCTTCCGCTCCAGAAGGAACACAGTGGTGTAGCGCGTGTAGTCGTCGACAAGCACTAGGAAGTAGCGCTCTCGACGCGGCTCATGGACGGGGGCGGGGCCCCAGACGTCCATGTGCAGATTCTGTAGCGGTGCGGAAGTAGGGGGAAACGAGGAGGAGTGAGGAGCACGGCGGAGCCGGCCCTCGACACAGGGCGTGCAAGGTGGGGCTGGGGAAGAGGGAAACTTGGGGAACGACCCGGGGAGGCCTAGGACGAGACCGTGCTGGGACATGTGACGCAGACACGGGAGCGCAGGGTGACCTAGGCGGTGGTGCCAAAGGAGGGTCAGGTGAGTGAGTGACCGACAGGAGCAGGCAGTAGCAACCTGAGTAGACGCTGCCACCTGAGGGGGCGTCCCAGCCGGGGAAGTCACAGTGTCCAGTGTGAAAAGGCCGGACACCGGGTCCCGTGGGAACGTGGTAAGGGGGGCACCAGTGGCGGCCTCGGTACAGACAGCGTACCGCTTGTGACCAGGGAACGTAGTGGTGACGCCAAGGTCCTGGAGGCAGCCGACACCAAGTAGGTTCCTGGAGAACGAGGGGATGTGCAGACCTGTGAGAGAGCTCAAAGGAACCGCCGGACAGGGAAGGGTGGTGGAACTGTGGGCAACTACAGGGCCGGAGGAGGGGTCAGCAAGAGAAACTGCAGCAGGAACAGGAAGCGTCGTCAGCGTGGTGGAGTCACGGAAGAAACACCGGGAAGCGCCAGAGTCCAAGGTGAAGGAAAGCATTCAAAGCGAAGCACCTCCGCCATCAGGAACGATGCAGGGCGGTGTAGAGCGGTGCAGTGCGGTGCATTCCGGCGCCGTGCAGTGCAGTGCGGTACAGCGCGGTGCAGTGCAGTGTAGCGCGGTGCAGTGCGATGTAGAGCGGTGCAAAGCGGTGCAGTGCGCTGCAAAGTGGTGCAGAGCGGTACAGTGCGGTGCAAAGCGGTGCAGTGCGGTATCAGGGGGGGTTGTAGGGCGGTGCTGGTCGGGAAGAACGGGCCGGGCACGAGTCGGCGGCGGGCCGGCGGCGAAGCGAATGCGGGGCCGGCGACGACGGCGGACGCTAGGGGCCGGCCGGCGGACGGCGGACGCGAGGGGCCGGCGACGATGGCGGACGCGAGGGGCCGGCGATGACGGCGGACGCTAGGGGCCGGCCGGCAGACGGCGGACGGCGGACGCGAGGGGTCGGCAAGGGGCGGGCAAGGGGCCGACGATGGGCGGGCACGAGGGGCCGGTAAGGAACGGGCACGAAGGGGGCCGGCTAGGAGCGAGCACGGCGACACGAGGAGCCGGCTAGGAGAGGACGCGACGGCTCAGGGGAGGAACGGCCACGGCGGCGAGAAGGGGCCGGCTAGGAGCAGGCGTGACGGCGAGCAGGGCCGGCTAGGATGGGCGCGACGGCACACGGGGCCGGCTAGGGACGTACTCAATGGCGCAGGGGGCCAGGTAGGATGATCGCGACGGCTGCTAGGAACGGCCGCGACCACTAGGAACGGCCGCGACGGCGGCTAAGGACGACCGCGACGGCTAGGAACGGCCGCGAGAACGGCTAGGAACGACCACGACGGCGGCTAGGAGCGTTCGCGGCGGCTAGGAACAGCTGCGGCGGCGGCTAGGAACGGTCGCGACGGCTAGGAAAGACCGCGACGGCGGCTAGGAACGACCGCGACGGCGGGTAGGAACGGCCGCGACGGCGGCTAGGAACAGTCGCGACGGCTAGGAACGGCCGCGAGACGGCGGCTAGGGACGGCCGCGACGGCTGCTAGGGACGGCCGCGAGACGACTAGGGACAGCCGCGACGGCTAGGAACGGTCGCGACAGCGTCTAGGAACGGCCGCGACGGCGGCTGGGAACGGGCGAGACGGCAGCTAGGGACGGGCGCGACGGCTAGGGGCGGGCGTGACGGCTAGGGGCGGGCGTGACGGCGGCTAGGGCCTAGGGCGGAAGCGTGGGCGGGCTAGGGGGGGGCCGAACCTACTATGATACCATATCAAAATGAGTAGTGAGTAGAATAGAAGGATACAGGGGTATATAGACTAGGGGTTGTACCCTCTAAGGCACAATCCAGTATAGTCTACAGTAACTACATAAGTTACATTTGACACCATATTCCTAGGACCCCTTTTCAGACGAACCCCTTTTCGGATTTCTGTTCTACTGTTCTGAACCGCATCAAAATTGCACTGCCCAGTTTCTCGGTCATATGAAAATAGCTGCGGCGTGTGATGGTAAAGAGGGTGCAGCTATGGCATGGCATGGCATTGACGACAACAGTGCATGTGCAGTGCAAGTCTGCCAAATTGCCAATTCTAAGAGCTTCCGGCACCTCGCTGAATTGGCCAATTTACAGGTACCGGTAAGGAGCACCGGTTTCCGTACCTTGCAGTATGCAAACGAGACCATAATAATTTAGTACTACACAAGTTAGTCATACATTGCTCGATGACATAAACCAATACCGGTTTAGAGACGTAAAGCAGCATCATTAATACTTCAGGGCTATCCCTCTTGATGGGTAAGCTCCTGCTGTTAGCACTTGATCTACCAAACATGGCAACGTGTATCATGCCAGTAAAGCTCCCCAGCCATCCTCATAGAGTACACGCGAGTTGTCGTGACATATAAGTTAAACGCCTGTTTGCTTCCAGCGGGCCAGGATCCGTGCCTGTCCGCCCATGTCCTGTCCAGCGACCATTTGCTGTGCTGCATGCTGCGGTTTGATTGGCTGCAGCTGCGTATGGGAGATTAGTTGTCCAAGTGGCGAACGGGGTTTCCGTAAATTTGTCCTTAGAGTAACAGGCCGCTGGCTTTAAGGGGTTCAGAATCCAAACACCCAGTCGATTTCCACAGCGTCTGTAGCCTGACTCCGACCCCACGTGCTGCAGGAAAGCGACTGCGGGGTTTGCACTGCAGCGGCGGCAAAATCTGATGCCTCTTCCGGTTTTACCATAGGTCTGTAGCCTCCAAACAGACCCCACAAGGAAGGAGCCACATCCAACGTCTCTTCCTGAACGTCCGCTGCTGCTCCCCCTGCAGCCGATTCCGACCCTCCAATCCGCTCCGATCTAGCTCCGTCTGCTGCAACCGACGCTTCATCTAACGCGGAGCCAAGAGAAGAAGAGAGGCATAGCCGCGAGCTCGCACACAGCAAGCTGGTAGGGGTCTCGAGCACCAATCTCGGTGGGGTTTGCGGGGAAACATGTGGTAATTTCCTGGAAACAACGGGGCTGAATTCGGCCGCGCACTGGAGATGAGAAACCGGCGAGCTGGGAAGGAGCGAGTGCATGAGGGGACTGGGACCGCGGACTGCGCCTGTACAGATGCACTGGCTTGAGTTGTCAATCGAGAAGCCGCTGTCTAGGCTATCTACCACCTGCTTGGAATCATCGTTCTGCATCTCCTGTTCTTGCTCTTGCTGCTGCTGCTGCTGCGATCGGAACACCTCAGTGAACCACGGATGCTGGAGAATGTCGCTAGCGGTCGGTCTCTTCGCCGGATCCTGCCGGAGTAGGCAACGAATAAGGTCTTTCGCGAAAGGCGAAATCGATCCCCAAATCGGCCGGTAAAACGAAAACTTGCCGCGCTTAACTGCTGCGAGAACCTCGTCCTCCGTTTCCCCGAAGAACGGAGCTGATCCTGACAAAAGCATGTACAGCATGACACCCAGAGACCAGATATCTGCTTGATGGCCGTAATTTCCTGAGAGGACTTCTGGAGCGAGGTAGAACGGACTTCCTGCGACGCCGTAGACCTGCTTGTGCGCGTCCACGAAGAGCGATAGCCCGAAATCGGTAAGCTTAACTCTAGGCGTCAGCGAAAAGCTTCTTGTCGGGGACTTGCAGTCATCGGCTTCCGCTGGCGTTCTGACCCCTGATCTTCGTACAAGGAGGATATTTTCCGGCTTTAAATCGCGGTGAAGAACGCCGTGCTCGTGACAGTGCATAACGGCAAGCACAATCTCCTCGAAGACGGCTGCTGCTTGTGTTTCTGTCATGAAGCCATGGCTGCTGATGTCGTCGAATAAATCACCACCCTCGCAGAGCTCCATAATTAGATGGACGCATTTGTCGTCCTCGAAGACATCCTCCAGGTTCAGAGTGTAAGGGTTTCCAGCTAGTCTTCGCATGATCTCGATTTCTCGCCGAACATCTTCCTTGTCCTCCCTGAAGAGGAAAAAGGCAAAGAGGCAAGGCGATCGAGTTAGCAAAAGTAAAATGACACTGTTATCTAAACAACCATGGAAGAGGAGAAAAATGTCTTGGTTTCTCTGCTATATAAGCTTCGAATCAAACCGTAAGACATGGGACCAGGAACTAACCAGTGTGAGAGTTTCGACTTGTTGATCGACTTGCACGCGTACTGTCCGCCTCCGGAACGTTTTCTGCAAAGCTTAACGATCCCGAAATGTCCACGACCAAGCTCCTCCTCTAAGGTATAAATATCCTCCAGCCGTCCTGTGCGCTGATGCAATACCCATCCTCGATCTAGGTCAAATGGGAAGCGGACCATCGCCGAACCTGGAAAACCCCAAGCTCCTGAGAGGTTTCTGAACTACAGAAAACTTGAAGATGTCCTTAGCACTTGCTCCTGGTGACTCCTCAGCCAAGCTAGAGAGCGAAATAAATAGTCGGATTAGGAGGCTCTATAAATACAGTGGCATTACCAGACTAACACAATACCTAATACCTAGGTACCGTACTGGAACAGCTGTTGACAGTGGAAGGGGAAATAAAAGTAAGTTTCAGGCCTCCAGTTCATGAATCATGAACCCTAGCACTGAGAAAGGGGAAGGTTGAGAGTAATCTGCTCTACAGCTGGCTGGAGACTACAAGCTGAGAAACTACTGCTCACTCACACCACAACCTCCAGCTGCACTGTTTTCCTGCAGTCGCAGTAGGGGACGGGCGACGGACGAACAACACGGCGACGGCATCGCACTCCACATTCAACCCAACTCGCCAGGCACAAGCCACCGAAAGAATCGCCTACTGTTGCCACAATCGTCTCGTCGGCGTCGGCGACGGTGTAGCAGACCCACCGAAGGGTACTGAAGGCGAGCGAACCAGCAGGGGGTCAGCGAGCGAATGAAAGGAGCCACGACAGTCGCTGAGCGACCGTGAGCAGCCACGACGAGTCGCTGGCTGGATTGAAAACTGTCGGCGACGCAGTGAGGGTTTCTGAGACAGTTTCCCGCTGCCTGAAGCAGAAGTGGAAACAGAGACGCCCCATGTGCCAGGTGATGCCATCGCCTCGCTTGCTGCCCTTGTTGCTGAACAGTTGTTGGCAGGGGTAACTGCACCGCACCCTACCCAGTCAGACCTGACGGAAGTTTCATGTCAAGGTGGCGGGAAAGTGAAGTTGACGGACCGTCAGCGACGGGCAGCATAATTGTGGTCAATCTTGTGTGCGGTCAGAGCGGCCAGCAAGGAATTCCCGACGAAGACGTGTCGCCTCCCTGGTTCTACGCAGTCCAGCGCACTTCCTTGTGGCGCACGATTCCGCTTCCGCAGAAGAACCGGAATGCTGACATGGATCTGATCATAATTGACCTCTGGATGCCCAGTTGGCCGTCAAGGGCTGACTATACCTGAGGCGGCCAATCAAGCTCTCACCTACTACACGACAGGAATGTCCTTCACATCGAGCCTTCTACGATGTCTCATGGAAGCACCGCAGAAGCTTACTTGGACGGACCGCCCTTCAGCTTTTCCTTCGACGGGGTCGCGTCTTTCAGAATCACGAACAATATACGCGATACCTACAGTTGTAGCAGCTTGAAGCAACTTCAGCACTAAAAGGGCAGGATCATACACGATAAATTGCTCTAACACATTTATGGCCACAGACACCTTACCCTAGAAGTTACCTACAATTGAGGCACCTCGTTACCGGCATTCAAACCCACAGCGCACAAGTAGTGCAATGCTCTCGCATCTCACAGCCACTTCGATGCTAAAAAACTAGGTCAATGCCATATGATCCCACTGTTACGCTGCCGCTCCGTCAAACTCATATGCGAGTGGGTCTGATGACTCACACATGCGGTACTCATCAATCATTGTGCGTACGACCTCGTGTGATTCGTCAAACTCCGCCAGGTTGTCCTATAGATGGGGGAGGGAGGGTGGTTAGGAACGACAGAGGGATGGGAAACAAATTATGGTTACTAATTTCTGACTATTTTGTGATGCTTTATACAAAGCATGTGGCTTCCTACCATATTGAGAAGATGGACATCACGAATAGGGGAGGTGCATAAGGGCCGCATGTGTGCGCAGAGCAAGGCATAAAGGGCTTCTGTGTGAAAACGTGCGCAGAGAAGACTGTGGAAGGCACAAGACAAGACTCACAGAGAACATGGAGAACTGCTTATAGGGCTCAAGGAAGGCTGACTTGCGGCGCATGTTCTCGTACTGCTTCACACAGCGCCCAAACAGGTGCCGCATGCCCGTGTGGTTGGCCAGCATGAGCCCGCTCACTTTGTGGCCCGTCTGCACGTAGGGCGAGCTACGAGAGAGAGCCACCTGGAAGAAGGGGCAAGGAGGGCAGAGAGCACTGTTGCCTCAACTCAGAAGCCAATGCTTGGCCGGTTGGACAGCATGAGCCCGCTCACTTTGTGCCCCGTCTGCACGTAGGGCGAGCTGCGCGAGAGAGCCACCTGGAAAGAGGGGTAGGGGAGAGGTTGAGAAAGAGATGATGACACAATGCCGGTGTGGTTGGCCAGCATGAGCCCGCTCACTTTGTGCCCCGTCTGCACATAGGCGAGCTGCGGGAGAGAACCACCTGGTGGTTGGGGTAAACCCTGGGGGGGGGGGAAGAGAGGGAGGGAGGGGGAAAGACCTCTTTGAGTCTACATTGAAAGCCAATGCCACGTGTGGCTGGAGAGCATGAGCCCACTCATTTTGTGACCCGTCTGCATGTAGGGCGAACTGCGCGCGAGAGCAAGCTGGGAGAAGTGGGGGGGAGAGAGGGAGCGATCTATTGAGTCGACTCAAAAGCGGGTCAACCTCGTCCAGAAAGATTATCATATCACGTTCAGCAGAATCAAACCCCAACCTGATTCGATGTACCCTGGTTCAACTTCAAACCCACCAGTACGTTGGCCGGCCCCCATTCAATGAACGAAGCCACCTGCTTCTCTCTGATCCGTTGCATGCTCTTGTTCACCTGCATGCTCTCTGTTTCTCCACCTCAATACTGTGAGTAATCCCCAGTCTCCTTCCCCCAATAGCTCACATCGCACCCACCTGTATGTTGGCCGGCCCCCATTCAATGAACGAAGCCGCCTGCTTCTCTCTGATCCGCTGCATGCTCTTGTTCACCTGCATGCTCTCTGTTTCTGCCCCTCAATACAGTGAGTAATCCCCTGTCTCCTTCCCCCAATAGCTCACATCGCACCCACCTGTATATTCGCTGGCCCCCACTCTATGAATGAAGCCGCCTGCTTCTCCCTGATCCGCTGCATGCTCTTGTTCACCTCCCCCGGATCCACCTCCCCCTGGATGATGTTCAGAATGGCCATGTACCGGGCAGCACTCGCGTCCCTGGCCCTGCCATAATGGGAAGAAACCATCCAGTTCTGTGGCTGTTTGGTGGGCGGTGCAGAGTGGGGCGCGGGGGAGGGGGAAGAGGGGCAATGAACGGCCATGCACCGTGCGGCACTCGCGTCCCTGGCCCTGCCGTAGTGCGATGATACCATCCAGTTCTGGGGCTGTGTGGTGGGGAGACAGGGAGGCAGGGGAAAGGGTTAGGAAGAGGGGCCGAGAACAGCCATGTACCGGGCAGTACTTGCGTCCCTGGCCCTGCCAAAGTGCGAGGATGCCATCCAGTTCTGGGCCTGTACGGTGGGGAAATGGGGAGGCAGGGAAAAGGTTCGGAAGTGGGGTTGAGAATGGCCTTTTGGCAGCGGCAATCGCGTCCCCGGCCCTGCCGTAATGTGTGGAGACCACCCAGTTCTGAGGCTGAAAGGGAGACAGACAGACAGGTGAGAGAGGTGCCAAAAATAAAAAAAATCAGGAACACGAGTCAAATACATGCACCTCCCCCCACCCACCCCCCCCGGTGATGGTCAGATATGCCATGCCAGGAACAGGAGTCAAATACATGCCCCCCACCCCCCCACCCCCCCCCCCCCCACTGGGTGATGGTCAGAATTGCCATGCTGCAGGCGGCACCTCGCGTCCCTAGCTATGCCTTTATGCGATAGAAGCATCCAATACTGGGGCTGTTAAAGGAGTGAGAAACGGGACGAGTCTATTTTTTAGCCGACTTAAAAGTAGACTCTTCACACTCGCGTCCCGAGCTCTTCACACACGATAAAACCATCGAATTCTGGAGCTGTTGAAGGAGTGAGAAGCGGGGGCAGGGGGGGCAGTGGGGAGAAGGGAAGGGAAGGAACACGAAAACAACATCCATTCTCCAGGTACGAGCCAATGAGATCATCCAGGGGATTTTTAAGTCGACTCAGAAGTCGCCTCGTTACAAAGTCACATACTTTTGAGTCGACTCAAGAGTCAACTCGTTACGATGTCACAGACTTTTGAGTCAACTCAAGAAAACAGCACCGCTTTTCCATGTACAAGACAATGAGACCATCCAGGGGAAGAAGAGGGTGGCCAGGGCACATCCAGATCCACCTCCCTTGGATAATCCTTCCCCAGATTTACCTCCCCCCAGATCCACCTCTTCACTTCCTACCTTGAGTACACGATCCTACCTCGTAGCATCCTACCTGAAGCAGTCTCCTCATGACGTCAAATACCGACAAGGTGACTTTTGAGTCGACTCAAAAGTCACCTCCCCCCAGATCCACCTCTTCACTTCCTACCTTCAGTACAATACACGGTCCTACCTCGTAGAATCCTACCTGAAGCAGTCTCCTCATGACGTCAAAGACCGACGTCTTCCGAATGACATTCTCCTGCAGGGCGATGCACATACCACCACGACACACACACACACGCGAGTGAGATGCATGATACACAAGAGTCTATTTTTGAGGCGCCTCAAAAATAGACTCCTCACGCACGAGATTTTCAAGGCGCCTAAAGCATCCATGAATGAAAGACAGGCGAGATACATAAGAGACGAACATCACATCGCATTGACACGGCATACAATCCTCCATATTTTCACTCAACCACCCGTCTGCTGCTGAACCGTGAGAGAGGTGCAGTGGTGCGTAGCCTACACCAATCAAGAGGTGGCACTGCGGTGTAGGTGATTTTTGAGTTGACTAGAACATCACCTAGGAGGCGCCACTGCACCTAGGAGGCGCATTGGCATGTAGCTGGAAATCAAGAAGTGGCGCTGCGGTGTAGGCACCAGAGCACCAGCTCATGAATCAGCGTGCTCATGAACCCTGGGTACCGTACCGGATCAGCGTGGTGTTGGCGCTCACCGCACGATCAGCGGTGTTGGCGCTCACCGCATGATCAGCGATGTTGGCGCTCACCGCACCACCACGCTGTCAGCTCCCCTCCCCCCCCCACACCCACCTGAAACACACCCATACCCACCCACACACACACACAAACACCCACACCCATCCAGAAACACACACGCACCCACCAACGCACCTGTCTCTGCACTGTCAGTGGCGTGTAGCCGGACACCAGGAAGTGGCACAACGGGGTAGGAACCAATGACGAAGTATGCACCTGTCTCTGCACTGTCAGTGGCGTGTAGCCGGACACCAGCAAGTGGCAGAGCGGTGTCGGGACCAGCGACGACACCAGCGACGTGAGGTCGTTGCTCATGAGCCCGGGTTACTGCATGGTGTTGGTGCTTGCCGCCATCACCATGGCCACCAGCGAGTTTGTCTCTGCAAACGTTAGCTGGGGCAGGCGCAGCAGCCTCTCTGCTGCGATCCACTCTACCCAGTGCGATATCACCATGCTTTACGCACCTGTCTCTGCACGGTCAGAGGCGTGTAGCTGGACACCAGGAAGTGGCACAACGGCGTGGGCACCAGGGACGACACCAGCGACGTGAGGTCGTTGCTCATGAAGCCCGGGTACCGGATGGTATTCGTGCTCGCCGCCATCACCATGGCCACCAGCGAGTTCGTCTCTGCAAACGTTGGCTGGGGCAGGCGCAGCCTCTCCGCTGCAATCCTATCGAGGGCCGTGTTGTCCAGAACCACCACGCTGTCAGCGTGCTGGGTCAGCCGCCGCAGCGTCAGCAGCGAGTTGTACGGCTGGACCACCACGTCAGACGTCTCTGATTGGTTCGGGAAGACGCTGTACGTCTGGACGAGCTTCTTGGGGTAGCGGTCGTGCAACTCCTCTAGGAGATACGAGCCCATGCCTGTGAGGGGTGAGATAGGAGAAGAGAGAAGCACCAGTTGGGGAGAGGCAACCATTCAAGAAGACGCTGTACGTCTGCACCAGCTTCTTGGGGTAGCGGTCGGGCAACTCCGCTAGGAGATACGAGCCCAATGCTGCCTGTAAGCGGCGAGATACGGAAACGAGAAAGAAGCGACAAGTGATAGGGGAGGGATAACTATTGGGGAAGACACTGTACATCTGCACGAGATACTTTAAGAAGCGGTCTTTGTAACTCCTCTAACAGATACGAGCCCATGCCCCGGGGGGTGAGAGAGGGATGGGAAAACATAGGATTCTAGGAGATACGAGCCCATGCCCCGGGGGGTGAGAGAGGGATGGGAAAACATAGGATTCTAGGAGATACGAGCCCATGCCCCGGGGGGTGAGAGAGGGATGGGAAAACATAGGATTCTAGGAGATACGAGCCCATGCCCCAGGGGGTGAGAGAGGGATGGGAAAACATAGGATTCTAGGAGATACGAGCCCATGCCCCGGGGGGTGAGAGAGGGATGGGAAAACATAGGATTCTAGGAGATACGAGCCCATGCCCCGGGGGGTGAGAGAGGGATGGGAAAACATAGGATTCTAGGAGATACGAGCCCATGCCCCGGGGGGTGAGAGAGGGATGGGAAAACATAGGATTCTAGGAGATACGAGCCCATGCCCCGGGGGGTGAGAGAGGGATGGGAAAACATAGGATTCTAGGAGATACGAGCCCATGCCCCGGGGTGTGAGAGAGGGATGGGAAAACATAGGATTCTAGGAGATACGAGCCCATGCCCCGGGGGGTGAGAGAGGGATGGGAAAACATAGGATTCTAGGAGATACGAGCCCATGCCCCGGGGGGTGAGAGAGGGATGGGAAAACATAGGATTCTAGGAGATACGAGCCCATGCCCCGGGGTGTGAGAGAGGGATGGGAAAACATAGGATTCTAGGAGATACGAGCCCATGCCCCGGGGGGTGAGAGAGGGATGGGAAAACATAGGATTCTAGGAGATACGAGCCCATGCCCCGGGGGGTGAGAGAGGGATGGGAAAACATAGGATTCTAGGAGATACGAGCCCATGCCCCGGGGGGTGAGAGAGGGATGGGAAAACATAGGATTCTAGGAGATACGAGCCCATGCCCCGGGGGGTGAGAGAGGGATGGGAAAACATAGGATTCTAGGAGATACGAGCCCATGCCCCGGGGGGTGAGAGAGGGATGGGAAAACATAGGATTCTAGGAGATACGAGCCCATGCCCCGGGGGGTGAGAGAGGGATGGGAAAACATAGGATTCTAGGAGATACGAGCCCATGCCCCGGGGGGTGAGAGAGGGATGGGAAAACATAGGATTCTAGGAGATACGAGCCCATGCCCCGGGGGGTGAGAGAGGGATGGGAAAACATAGGATTCTAGGAGATACGAGCCCATGCCCCGGGGGGTGAGAGAGGGATGGGAAAACATAGGATTCTAGGAGATACGAGCCCATGCCCCGGGGGGTGAGCAAGGGAAGCGAGAAAGAGGAGGACGGTATCAGGTGACTTTTGAGTCGACTCAAAAGTCACCTCGATTCAAAAGTCACCCCGGGGGGTGAGAGAGGGAAGCGAGAAAGAGGAGGACGGTATCAGGGAAGAGGCCAGCAATGAGGAGGACGCTGTACGTCTGCACCAGCTTCTTGGGGTAGCAGTCGTACAACTGCTCTAGGAGATACGAGGCCATGCCCCGGGGGGTGAGATAGGAAAACGAGAAAGACGAGGTGGGTATCAGGGAGACAGCAAGCATTGGGGAAAGCACTGTATGTCTGCCGTGTAACCCCCCTAACAGATACAAGCCCATGCCTGTAAGGGACGACATCAGAGTGAAAAACTCAGGGAGTTTTCAGGTCACTCAATCGCATACTCTACAGGAAAATTCCTGATACCGTGTCTCACTTGACTCCGTAACTCACCCGTAACTCACCCGTAACTCACCCGTAGCTCACCCATAACTCATCTAACGCGTTATCTTGCCTGAGCCCCTGTCTCATCCGACGCCTTTTTCTTGTCTCGTCCCTTCATCTCACCTGATCCTGTCCCTTCAGCAACCGAGAAGTAAAACGCCTCGGGGTTCTCGCTCCCCTCCACCTCCCCAACGATCATCTCCATTATCTCCTCCTGCTGCGTTTGCTTGCCCAGACAATTCACGAGCTCTCACCTGATCCCCTCTCTCACCTGATCCCCTCTCTCACCTGATCCCCTCTCTCACCTGATCCCCTCTCTCACCCGATCGCCTCTCTCACCTGACCCCCTCTCTCACCCGATCGCCTCTCTCACCTGACCCCCTCTCTCACCTGACCCCCTCTCTCACCTGACCCCCTCTCTCACCTGACCCCCTCTCTCACCTGATCCGGTCCCTCCAGCCACAGAATGGCACACGTCGAACGCCTCCAGGTCCTTGCTCCCCTCGGCCTTTCTATCGATCATCTCCATGATCTCCTCCTGCTGCTGCGCTCGCTTGGCCAGACAATCTAAGATCTCTCACTTGACCCTGTCCCTCCAGCAACCGAGTGGCAGCGCCCCCAGGTTCTCGCTCCCCTCAGCCTCCCTGTCGATCCTCTCCACTATCCCCTCCTGCTGCGCTGGCACCTCGCCGAACCATAAGAAACAATCTCCCCTTCATTCTCCCACTCGCTCCAGCCACAGAATGGCACAGGTCGAACGCCTCCAGTTTCTCGCTCCCCTCGGCCTCTCTATCGATCATCTCTATGATCTCCTCTCCTCCTGCTGCGCGCGCGCCTGGTCGGATGATTCAAACAATCTATCGACCATGATCTCTTGGTCTCACCTGACCCTGTCCCTCCAGCAACTGAGTGACAAAGGTAGAATGCTTCCAGATTCTCGCTCCCCTCGGCCTCTCTATTGATCATCTCTATGACCTCCTCTCCTGCTGCGCGCGCGCCTGGTCGGATGATTCAAACAATCTATCGACCATGATCTCTTGGTCTCACCTGACCCTGTCCCTCCAGCAACTGAGTGACAAAGGTAGAATGCTTCCAGATTCTCGCTCCCCTCGGCCTCTCTATCGATCATCTCTATGATCTCCTCTCCTCCTGCTGCGCGCACGCCTGGTCGGATGATTCAAACAATCTATCAACCATGATCTCTTGGTCTCACCTGACCCTGTCCCTCCAGCAACTGAGTGACAAAGGTAGAATGCTTCCAGATTCTCGCTCCCCTCGGCCTCTCTATTGATCATCTCTATGATCTCCTCTCCTCCTGCTGCGCGCACGCCTGGTCGGATGATTCAAACAATCTATCGACCATGATCTCTTGGTCTCACCTGACCCTGTCCCTCCAGCAACTGAGTGACAAAGGTAGAATGCTTCCAGATTCTCGCTCCCCTCGGCCTCTCTATCGATCATCTCTATGATCTCCTCTCCTCCTGCTGCGCGCACGCCTGGTCGGATGATTCAAACAATCTATCAACCATGATCTCTTGGTCTCACCTGACCCTGTCCCTCCAGCAACTGAGTGACAAAGGTAGAATGCTTCCAGATTCTCGCTCCCCTCGGCCTCTCTATTGATCATCTCTATGATCTCCTCTCCTCCTGCTGCGCGCACGCCTGGTCGGATGATTCAAACAATCTATCGACCATGATCTCTTGGTCTCACCTGACCCTGTCCCTCCAGCAACTGAGTGACAAAGGTAGAATGCTTCCAGATTCTCGCTCCCCTCGGCCTCTCTATCGATCATCTCCATGATCTCCTCCTGCTGCGCGCGCGCCTGGTCGAATCCGCTCGCCCAGTTGTTCCCCGCGCCCCCCCCGTGCTCCGCCACGTACACGTTCTCCGCGTTGAACAGCGACCGGAACTCGCCCGCCTGGATGCCCTTAACTACACGGGGTTCTAGATCCAATAGTACGGAGCGCGGGATGTAGTGCTGGTCGTCCGCCTGATAGAAGAACACGTCCTTGCGATCGCCGCCCTGGCGTATGAAAAGGGGAGGGGGGGGGGGGGGGGGGGGGGGGGGGGAAGAGGAGGAGGGGGGGAGGGGGAGAGTGGGGAGAGTGGGGAGAGTGGAGAGAGTAGAGGAGAGGAAGAAAGAGCGTGAGGGTCGGACCTAACATGAACATTCTCCGCCGATAGAAGGACACGTCCTTGCGATCATCGCCCTGGCGTGTGTTCAGGAGAGCGGGAAAGAACGCGGACAGAATCAGTACCCCGAGTGGCGTAGTGAGTCTGCTAGGAATCTATTTTTCAGGCGCCTCAAAAGAGCGGGAAAGAATGCGGACAGATTCAGTAACCTGCGTGGCGTAGTGAGCCTGCTAGGAGGTCACCTCAAGCATAATCGGCTTACTTGCGGGGCGAAATGGGTCTGGATTCGACGGCTCAGCGGTAATTCCCCTCATCAATGCTGACATGTGTCGCGTAGTGATCAACCCCTCTCATTGCGTCGTCACTGCCGATCCGGCAGATCAACCCAGTCACCTCGAAACCGCCTTACCTGAGTAGCAAAGTGAGCATTCGAGTCGTCGTTTCAAAAGTCACCTCTGGTCAAATAGATTCACCTGAGTCGCGAAGTCTTGCAAGTTGCCATCGAGCCCGATACCGTGCTCCAAGCACAGCTGTCGCCAGAATTCGCTCGCCACCTGGTTACCACACTGCCCGACCTGTAGCGTTACAATCTCGCCCGGCATCCTGACAGTTTTCGTCCGTCACTCGCGCCAACGAACAACTAGTAGAAGCTAGAACAACGGTGATAAGCGTTCGCTCGGGTTCGAGATCACCTAGAAGAAGCTATTATCAAGATCAGCCTAGGGATGAGTCTATCACCAAGCAGAGCTCCAATCAAGATCGACACGGGATGAATTTCTGAGAAGGCCCAGATAGAACTCAGTTGTGGAGTATAAATTCCGTTCTAGTCAGTTCTGGAACATGAATCCGTTACAGATTCGGCTAACTCCCAGAAAAGAGAGTAAGCTGAACAACCTCGACAGTCCTGCCACTTATGCGGTGCAACTGACAAAACGGCGGGACCCTGACGTGTAGAGAATGCGGATTTACCGCCTGCAGACTTCCTTACTTACTTCCGCTGTCCCAGAAAACCACGAATTCCGTGCCTAGGAAGCAGGAGCCAGGTATATTACCTAGGCAAGCCAGCAAGTAAAACATCGTCGAGCCTGAAAGGATGAGTGAGTGCAAGGATGAGCTCCCGCAATAATCGAGGTTGCGGGATTCGGAAAATCGAGGTTAGGCGCGCTCACGCTGCAATGCAGAACTGGAAAGATACTACACCATCTAATGGTATGGCATTTGCGGGTAATTGACATTGAAGTGAAGAATAAAACGGATCACAAGAGAAATTATTAGTTTCACTATATATGTACCTCTCCTGCCATTACAAGCAAAAATAAACTGCCAAACTAAAACTAAGGGGTCTAGTGCTCTCTCAAGCGTCCAACCTCTCCAGAGCTGGAAAAAAGGGCAAACACAGAAAGACGAGCGAGACGTCAATCAAGGCTATGAAATAAAGTGAGTGTAACCTGTACTGGTGTGGAGGGACAATGCCAGTTCCAGACAACACTTGATGGAAACCTTACTGTTGTAGTTGAGCAGCTTCTCTATCAGGTCCACATGAGTCATGAGCATGCGCCGGCAGCAGTAGCGTACAAGTCCCAGCGCATCCAGAGCATCACTGTAGCAGGGAACAAGGGAGGGAAGGAACAGGTGTGATGTCGGAGAGGAACGTTTGCATTGCACACCCGGGCTTAAGAAAAAACCCTCAAGAGATATGCCTAGGGGCCACTTTCGCGCATTCTCACTGCCTTCTAGCACAGTGACATAAACATTGGGCTATGGAGAAAAACATTTCTCGCATGTACGCACCCCTCGCTGTAGTCTGCTTGGAGCAGATCAAGGTACATGTCCCACTTGTTTCCGATCACCTGATGGCAAGAACGCAGCCAGACAACCATGGCACAACGGCGTGCGAGTGAAGGGGGGGGGGGAAGGGGAAGGGGGGAAAGGGGGAAAGGGGGGGAAGGATGAAGGGAACAGGAAGACAGCTTGACGATTACAAGAAAATGAAGTCTTGCGGAAACGTGCAAGGTAGATAGTGACAGGGAGAAATTTTAGGGGATGAACATAATAACCAGGTTTGGGGGACGAGGGTAGGGGATCAGGGTTTGGGACGAGGATTCATGGTGAAAAGGAAGAAAGTCGCCGCAGGCTTCAATAGTGTGCAGAATCAAGCAGACTCCGAAAAGATAAAGAGGGTTGAGATAGCACGGACCTTGCCACACGTGAAGCACCGAACGGGGATGATCATCCTGCTCCGCTACTGTAGGTCTTGTGATATTAACGGTGGTCCTCTTGATGGTTATCAACAACGAACGTAAGGGATGAAAATGCGATGTATCTACGAATTCGTCTTTCGTAGACACCTCCAGGGCCCAGAAAGCTTGTCGCTCCAAGGGCCAATACTTCCTCTATTGATCGTTCTAGAATATTGAGATTACGCCAAAGTTCACGCAAGCGGGACGCCTTCGTCCTAACGCCACCGTCGCTGGCTTTCCAAAAGCCTAGAGTTTCTACGCACGAACACGAATCGTCGGAGAAACGCTATCTGGGGTTAGTGGGTAGGAAGCCCCAAGAAAACCTTGAAGTTGAGGTTAGGGACAAACACCGCGGTTGTTTGCGCGAAGCTGCAAGGTAGGGGCTGCAGAAGTTGTGTTGGGTGTGATTGAAAATGAGGGCTGGTTACGGCTACAGAAATACACCCCCAATTTATCTTCGCCAGGTTCTGGAAAAAAAAAACATGCAGGCATACAAACGCAAAATGATAGTTGTACCCGCTACAGGGTCTGCCTCTCAGCCCGCAGTGCAAACTTCACACACCCCGTTAGCGGAGCCACGCCACCACCAGCACCGCCACCATCCACTCTTGCTGCTTGTCTGTCCGCCGCATTAGTCAGCGTGACGTACGCTGCTCTCTCCGCTTGTCGCCGGATCTTCGAGAGAGCAGTTTCGCGCGCGCTGACCGCCTGTTTAACCTCCAACCAAATTCTTCGTTTCCGCCAGCAACGACATTTCTTAGGTTCTCCCATCGTCAATCCGTACCTCGCGCCCCCGTCACCATCATTGTTGCTATTCACCTATTCACCCAATCGTTATTCGCTCGACCGTTTTTCGCCCAGCCTCTCCCGATCCTAGTATGGCATATCTTCGCCATGTCGCGACGAAGCTCGGCTCCACATCTCTCGAGGAGGCTCGGCACCGAGGCTTGGATCTGTTTCGCGAAACCTGTCGCGCGTTACCAAGCATCATGTTTCGCTACAACCTCGACGAAGTGATCACGCGACAGGAGCTGCGATCGCGAATCGCCGACGAGTTTCGGCGACACCAGGACGTCGAAAATCCCAAGGTGCGGAACCTACGTGGCGGAAACTATGTCGTCATTGCGTTTTCTCACTATCTCCCATCGCGGTTCCGTCGTGGCGTCGTTTCTGAACTGAAGTCCACGTGTCACCTTCCAGCAGTAGGATAAGAGTGGCGGCTACCCTGTAAGTAATACTTTTCAATGGGCTGACCTTTGAATGGGTTGACCGTTCAATGGGCTCGCTTGGGAATTTGAAGGAGGGTTGACCTTTCTAGGGCTGTGGGGGGAAGCTAAGAAGCCATACGCAAGGGGGGAAGCGGCAATGCCCGTGAGGGATGAACATGTGAGTGAGTGCAGGAAAGGTACTGGCTATTATCTGGTTGAGGTGGTTGGATGTGTACTGGGGCACATATGCTCGGTATTGGGTGCATATGTTCTTTATTTGGGTGCATATTGGCTGCTCTATTTGAGCAATAGGAGGAAGTGTGCAGAGTATGGAAGGTTGTGCTGATTTATACTCCTTGTAGAATTCCTTTAAACGAGTTGCATCAAGCAGATTGGACATCTTTATGAACATGTAGTAGTGTGCAGTGCATGGGAGGTTGCACAGAGTCTAAAACATATACCTCCTCACACTCCCTGTAACCATTTCTTACCACACGCGCTCTCGCTTCCCCTCTTTCAGGTCATCGATTCAAGGGCAGGGAAGGGAGGAGGTGGTGAAATACATGAGCCATTCAGCTAGGCTTGCCACCTGGCTATGATGTGACCCGTCACTACCCCCTTCCCCCTTCAGGTCATCAATCTGAGTGTATTCAAGGGCCAGGAGGAGCTGGTGAACTATCTGAGCCAGTTGAAGCAGCAGCCCACCCACCCGGCTCACATGTACCTCTATGTACTCTCTATTACCCCTTTACCCCCTTCAGGTCATCTATCTGCGTGTATTCAAGGGCCGGGAGGAGCTGGTGAACTACCTGAGCCACTGGAAGCAGCGACCCAACAAGAGTCAGCTCACCTGTTACCCCTCATACTCTGTGTAACCCCCCTTACCCTCCTCAGGTCATCGATCTGCTTGTGTTTAAGGGCAGGGAGGAGCTGGTGAATTACCTGAGCCAGTCAAAGCAGCGGCACCATGTGATTTCCCAGTGGGTGGTGGGGCCACAGGGCCAAGTGCCCACCATCCCAGGGGGGGCTCACCACAAGCCGGGGATCGTGCCCAAGGGCGGTGAATCGCAGTTCCTTAGAAGCTTTTACGAGAGCAACTGAGTCACAGTGGTAAGGTAAATGGTATCAAGAACCTGGTAGCGGTGTTGGTAGTAGCATCTGTGGCTTGTGATGGTATTTTCTTGTAATGTGCTGGAGATCTATAGGTATAACCATATCATTCTTTACAATGAATTCAAATGAACAAAATCTATAGAAGCTTATGAAATGTACATGCCAGGCCCATAATTATCAAGCTTTTTACACTGATTTTTTTTTTTTTTTTTTTTCCAAGGGTGTTCTCTTGTACCGACCCTGATGAATCAGCCTTGAAAACGAAAGAACCAGTTCCAACTAGTAAGAAAACCACTACCAAAAACTGATTTTCAAGGTGTTTTTAAAGATCGAGACTGATCAATCAGCGTGGCCTAAAACGAATATGAGGGCCTAGTACCAGCTATCGGAAGACCCGTTGGGGTTGCCCTTGAGATCCTCGGGGAAGGGTCTTAGCGTCTGTGTGCCTCTTAGCGGCCGACCAGTGTAATGGTCGGTGTCTGCCTGTCACCACACGGCGAGCCAGGATGCTGAGAGGGTATGCGAGATCAGGATGAGTGCAAGTAATCAGGTACATGAGGCAACCCACCAGCTTTGCATACGGACCACTAGGCTCTACCAACTCCTCAGGGACTAGAGCCGAGATTCTGTGATCTACTGGTAGAGGTGTGGGTTGTGCGGAGAAGAACTGAAGACTGAACCTCTGAAGGACCTGGCGCACCAAGTGTGACTGGGTGAGAGTGATGGTACGCGATGCTCTGTCCCTGGAGATTTGGAGCCCAAGGTAGCGGTGTAGCTCTCCTAGGTCAGTGCAGGTGTGTCTCCTCAGCAGCTCAGCCTTCACCGAGGCCAGAGCGTCTTTGTCTGCAGTAGCGAAGACCAGGTCGTCTACGTAGACAAGGATGTAGAGCGAGCTCTGGCCTTAACGAACGAAGAGCGAAGGGTCCGCAGACGACGGGAAAGACTACATGTCAGCTAACGTAGCACGCAGCGTGTTATGCCATTCACAGGGCGCCTGCCGTAGGCAGTAAACCGGGCACCGGAGAAGCCACTCGGTCCCAGGGGCGAAGGTGCCGTTGAAGCCTGGCGCATGGCGCATGTAGACCTACTCGTGTAGACTGCCTTGGGAAAACGCTGTAGAGAAGTCAAGGGAGTGCAACTCGTAGTCACGCTGTGCTGCTACGTATAGCAGCACCCGAAGAGTGGTCATCTTCCGGGTCGAGGCGAAGGTCTGAAAGAAGTCAACATCCTCGCGCCGACTGAAGCCTCTAGCAACGCAGCGCGCCTTGAACACCGACGGCTCTCCAGGAGGGCGCTTCACCTTGAAGAGCCACCGGCCATCGACTACGTTCACTCCAGGTAGGGGAGCTGCGTCGACGTAGGTGCCGGTGGATCTCCAAGATGCCATCTCCGCGTCCATGGCGGCTATCCACTGAGTGGCCCAGGGTCCCGAGGTCGCCTCAGCATAAGTGCGAGAGGTCGGGATATCAAGGGTGCGTGGGTCACCCTTAGAGACTAGCACCATGGAGCAGAGATGAGGAGCGGCCTCGAACAGGAATGCTAGCTCGTACTGCCTGTCCTCTAGGACGTCATTGCCAAGGGCAGGTGCGCCCCCGACAGAAGGAGGACGGGCAAGGCCAGAGGCTAGAGCGGTGGCGTAGTCAAGGCGAGGAGTAGAGACGAAATCAGCGACGGCAGTGACAAGAGCGTCAAGACTGGAGACAGGAATGGACAGGTCGGTTATAAGAGAAGCGAGAACGTGAGGAACAAGCGGACTAGCGATACGGAGGAAGTCAGATAGAGGAGGCGACAAGCGACGACTGAGGAGGTGACGGAAGAAGGGGAGCACGAGACGCGTGAGAGCAGAACAACATAGGGTAAGAGCGCTAGATAGGAGAGACAAGACGAGCACGAGAAGCACGGTGAGACCGCCAGCAGGAGGGGGGGGTCGAGTCAGGAGACAAGGGACGAGAAACAGGAGGAGAATGAGGGGGGAAACGAGCCGGGGACGAGTCCGGCGGAGGAAACACAGGGCCATAGAAAGGCGGGGGAGGCGGCGGCAGGGGAGGCGCACGCGGGGGTCAGGGGAGGGAAGACCCAGGAGGCGAAGGGCGGACACTGGCAGCGACTACTGCTGCTGCTCCATGCCGACTCCAGAACCTCCAGTAGCACCACGGCTACCTCCAGGATGCTCCACGATAGCACCCCAGAACGAGAACCCTCTCCAGTACCGATGCCATCCCCAAGACCGCCGAGACAAGCCACGACAGTACCCCCAGGACTAGCACCCCCAGAACCAGCAACCCCAGAACGAGAACCCTCTCCAGCAGTGGTTCCACCCCTAGGACTGCCAGGACAAGCCAAACAGTACCCCAGGACTAGCACCCTCGTCAACGCCCGCACCCCCAGAACTCGCGGACCCCTGCGGCGGCGGCGACTGCGGCTGCTGCTACGGTTGCGATGACGGCGATGGTGGCTACTGCTGCGGCGGCAACGGCGGGGGCTGCTGCGGCAGCGAAGGAGGAGACACCGGGGCGGAGACATGCGGCGAAACCGGAGTCGCAGGGCCCCCAGAGTCAACCGACTCCTCTTTGGGACAACCGATGGGAGGGGAGTGACATGAGACACACCAGATGGGGCATGACGGGGAGGGAGAGGAGCAGGGGCTATCGCAGGAGTGGGAACCACAAACAGGGGCAAGGTAAATGGGAGACCTCGGTGGGGAAGCAGGTGTAGAAGGAGACAGAATCGTCAAAAGTGACATCACGAGAATGAAAGAAATGGTGAGACGATGGGTAGTAAAATTGCCTGTCAGATGCGTCTAAGGGGAAGCCAAGAAAGAAGGGACAGTGCGGGCAGTGAGCTTCTCTGTGCCAGAGGCACGAACGTGAGCGAGGCAGCCCCAGACGCGGAACGCAGATGCGTCACCAGGGGACCCGGTCCAGAGGAGGGTCGACGAAACCTGCGGCCGATGGGAGTGTGGCCACAAGTTAAGCTGATGAGCGGCGTAGCGAACTGCGAATGGCCACAGAAAATGGGGTGCACTGGCATGGATCATGGAGGTACGGGCCATCTCCATGACCAAATCGATGCGTCACTCAGCGACCCCATTCTGCTGCAGGGAGTTCGGCAGGGTGTACGACTGGGTGATGCCCTCTGCACGACAGAACTGTCCAAGCCGACCGGAGGCAAACTCACTGCCACGGTCATAATGAAGACGCAATACAGAGAGGCCGCGGTGGACTCATGCAGCTACAGTACGACCCACGGGATAAGAACTCTAGGCACGTCGGCCTTCCTCTCCAAGGGAAACACCGTGGTGTAGCGCGTGTAGTCGTCGACAAGCACTAGAAAGTAGCGCTCTCGACACAGCAAAGGGACGGGGGCTGGGCACTAGGCGTCTAGGTGCAGGGTCTGGAGTGGCGCTATGGTAGGGGGAAGCGAGGAGGAGTGAGGAGCATGGCGCAGCCAGCCCTCGACGTAGGGCGTGCACGGTAGCGCAGGCGAGTGACGGAGAGCAGGGAGCAACGAAGGGAGACCTAAGACAAGACCGTGCTAGGACATGTGACGCAGACGCGGGAGTGTGGGTTGACCTAAGCGGTGGTGCCACAGTAGCGACGAGTGGGTGAGCGACCGATACGAGCAAGCCGCAGTGACCTGGGTAGATGAAGACACCTGGGGGGACGCTCTTAGCGGGGGGGATGCAGTGTCCAGCGTGAACAGGCCAGACACCGGGTCCCAGGGGAACAGACTGCGCACCGCTCGTGACCAGGAAACGTAGTGGTGACGCCAAGGTCTTGAAGACAGCCGACACCAACTTGGTTCTTGGAGAACGAGGGGATGTGCAAGCCTGTAAGAGAGCCCGAAGGAACCGCCGGATAGCGAAGGGTAGTGGAGCTACGTGCAACTACCGGACATGAGAAGGAGTTGGCAAGCGCGACAACGGCAGGGGCAGCAAGCAGCGTGAGCGCAGTGTGGTCGCGGAAGAATCAGGCAGACGCACCAGACTCTAGCGCGAAGGAGAGAGCAGCGGTAGTGTAAGCTAGTGGAGGAGCTAGCGTAAAACCAAGGGTAAACAAGGCAGGGGTCCTACCTCTGACGGAGTAGGGGAGCCTAGATTACACACGGTGGACACACCTACACTAGGCAACACCGGGTATTATCGTCCGAACACACTAGATTCATCACCATACTAATAGCGCGGTAGCTAGTCTCAAGGGCGCATAGATAAGTGGCAAGATCAGCGACAGTGGGGAAGGACGCAAGATCAGGGAATAGCATGGGGAGGATCAGACGACCGACAGAGGTGGAGGAGGGAGTGGAATAGCGTGAAATGACCGCATCTAAGTACCTCTTCGCATTCGCTATAGCCGTAAAGCGGGGACGCTCAGACAGGGGGAGGGCGTGAATGATAGCAAGTTGCGCTACGGCATCATGCGACTCCTAGATAGCGCGTGCAAGCTCAGCAGCGGCAAAGGCATCACGCTCAGCAAATGTTGGGGCGTCAGAGAGGGCAGCAGGTGCGTCGGGGCAGGGTTGCTTGCCGTCGACATGGACGGCCAGGGAATAGCTGTCCTGGCGCTGACCCGTCAGTTGGCGGCGAAGGTCGACGAGACACACCTCAATATCAACCGCCCGACCCTCCGCGTCAAGGCGGAGCACAGCGTCCACCATCACCACGGTTATGGCAGCACGTCAGCACGGCAACACAGCGGCACGGCGACACATCGACAAGGCGGCACGGCGACACAGTGGCATGGCGTCACGACAGCATGGTGATAGAACGGCACGGTGGCATGGCAAGCAGAGTCCGGCGGCGCGGCGGTGGCGCATAGGAGCGGTAGGAGCTAGGGCAGGCGGTTGCTGGAGCCGGCGCGATCTGGGGCGGGCTCGACCTGGGGCAAGCGAGCTGGGGGGCAGCTAGCGAGCGTGGGCTGGTGAGAGAGCACCGGCAAGTTGGGGCCGATGAGCTGGGGCCGGCGAGCTGGGGCCGGCAAGCAGGGGCCGGTGAGCGAGAGCCGGCGAGCTAGGGCCGGCGAGCTGGGACCAGTGCATGGCGAACAAAGGGCCAGCGGTGAGCTAGGAGCCAGCTGTGAGCGTGGGGCCAACGGGTGAGGGCTCGCGCGACGCACGATAGGGCGGGCGCTAGGGACTAGGGCGGACGCTAGGAACGAGGGCGGGCGCTAGGGACTAGGGCGATCTAGGG